TTCACAGATGCACAATTATTGGGTAAAAAGTGATGAGGAATACGAATTTCCAAATTTCTATGGTAGTCTGCATTTCATAAGACCCTTCTCTTCATGGTTTTAAAACCATTTATACTTATAAAACCACTAATACTTAAATCTTTGTATTGGGGTCAGGGTCCCCAAATAGGAGGTAAATATTTCACAGAGGGAGAAATTCATCACAATAACTTGTGAAATTCAGGTTGTATTTAGCACTTCTGAATGTTAAGTAAACCTAGGGAATCCCCATCTTTGAAGGATAATAGGTATTCATAGTTACAGAGCTAGTTATTGTGCTAAGCACTGTACATACGTTCTCAAGCCTAACAATGTAGGAGATGGGCATCAGCTATATTCTGTTACAGGTAATATTTGCAGTGAAGGACTACAGAGCAATTTGGAAATCCAAACAGTAAGATTACAGGGGTGAAAGATGATGAACTTTGAAAAAGTCTGGTATATACTTCCAAAATTAGTTTCCGAAATGGTTTTAAGTTTAGCAAACCCTTACACCTAAACAATTACTAACTTGGTATTTTCATTCATGAGATTATTTTCTGTGTTCTTTAGTGCATGTTATTGATTGTTTTGGGGTGGCACTATGTCCCTCCAGTTCATGTTTAAGTCTTAACTGCCGATCCCCCGCCCCAAGATTGTGAGTTATTTGTAGATGCGGCCTTTACAGACCTACCTAAGGTTAAAATGAGGTCAGTAGGGTGGGTCCTAATCCTGTCTGACTGATCTTTCTTTTTAAAGAGATTAGGACACAGACACTCACTGATTGTGTGAAGATAGAAAATGGTTTTCTGCCAGCCAAAGCGAGACCTTAGAGTTAACCTGCTCACACCTTGATTTTTTTAAATTTGTAGTCTGTTTAACAGAGAATTTTAAGTTACCCAGTTTCTGGTACTTCGTTATCACAACCCTAACAAACATAGTGCACAGATTTTAAAATGGTAATTTGGAGGAAACTTGCAACTTTATTCCCTAATTAGTGAAGTTGAACGTTTTCCCTTTTCTCATTATTTGCGCATTCATATCTCATTGCTTTTTTGGAGTATACAGCTCTCATTCGTCCTTGAAGTTTTTGTTTTTTGTTTTTTAAAGATTTTATGTATGTATTTGACACAGAGAGAGACAGCGAGAGAGGGAACACAAGCAAGGGGAGTGAGAGAAGAAGTAGGCTTATTGCTGAGCAGGGATCCCAATGAGGGGCTCAATCCCAGGACCCTGGGGTCATGACCTGAGCCAAAGGCAAAGACAGACACCTAACAATTCAGCCACCCAGACACTCCAGTTCTTGAAGTTTTTTAATTGCAATCAAATTTTCGATTTTTATGTAGTTAAACTTGTTCTGTCTTTATGTTTGTGATGTTTGTAAACTGAAATTCTTTCCTTTTCAGAGGTGTTTTTTCCTTTTAAGGCATCTGCAATTTGGGGTAGAAATTGCATGTGGGGTAAAATTCTTTTGCTACTTTTCTTCATATAATTTACTGATTATCCTAACACAGTTTATGAAATAACTTTTCTTTTTAAGGATTTCAGATATTGCTTTTTTAAAATTTTTTAATTTTATTTATTTATTTTTTTATTTACTTGAGAGTGAGGGAGAAGTAGGCTCTGCTGATCTAGCCCAATGTGGGGCTCTGCGGAGCTGTATCCCAGGATCCTAAGATCCTGATCTGAGGTGAAGGCAGACGCTTAACCAACTGAGCCACCCAGACACCCATGATTTTATTTTTTTAAATAGTCTTTACACCCAATTTGGGGCTCGAAACCACAAACCTCTACCAGCCGAGCCAGTTAGGTGCACCTGATTGTAATTTGCTTTTAAAAATTTATATTATCATTTATTCTAGATTTGCTTTAGAGTTAATATCATATTGAGTTCCCATCCCTACCTTTATAGTTGGTATGAACTGAATTGAAAAGAACCATTCGTTTTCATTTAAATTCACTAGTGAAATAGTAACTAATCTATCCAGTTTGCTAAACTGATTAAAAGTTGAGTCCTATGTATTAAAATTTATCTATTTACGTATCTGTTAGCTTCCTAGAGTGTGCTCCTTCACATACAAGTCTGGAAGAAACTCAATAAATTACTTACTTGTTTTAGTCTTTTCTTTCTTTTTTTTTAAGAAAGATTTTATTTATTTATTTGACACAGGAGAGAGAGAGCAAGAGAACACAAGCAGACTCCCCACTGAGCAGGAAGCCTATTGCAGGAGCCGATCCCAGGACTCTGGGGTCATGATGAGCTGAAGGCAGACTCATAACAGACTGAGTCACCCAGGCACCTCTAGTTTTTGTTTTTTGAACAAAAAGATGAGAATACATATCTTTAGAAATACCCAACATAGCTTAGATATTGTTAAATGGATTTGGAAACTGCCAGGTTTAACCAAGGTATAAATGGTAACTATTCAATTCACCAAAGGCCTACAGAAGGAGCTCTCCTGGGATGCGTGGGTGGCTTGGTCGGTTAAGCATCTGCCTTAAGCGCTGGTCATGATCCCAGGGACCTAGGGTCGAGCTCCACATAGGGCTCCCTGTTTGGCAGAGAGCCTGCCTCTCTCTCTCCCTCTGCTGCTTTCCCTGCTTGTACTTTGTCGCTCTGTCAAATAAATAAATAAAACCTTTTCAAAGAGCTCCAAACCAAGAACTAACAGGATTTAGGTATCCTAATGGATAGGTACAGGAACATTTTTAGAGTAGTGAAGGAACTATCACGTATCTATTGATTACATTATCCGTTAAGCTCATCAAGCTCCCTTTGCAATGAAATAATGATTATCTGGCAACTTCTGATATTCTAGATCAAAGATTAGCAAATTTTCTTTTTTTTTTTTAAGATTTTTAAGATTTATTTGACACAGAGAGAGAGAGAAAGAGATCTCAAGTAGGCAGAGAGGCAGGCAGAGAGAGAGAGGTGGAAGCAGGCTCCCCGCTGAGCAGAGAGCCCGGTGCGGGGCTTCATCCCAGGACCCTGGGATCATGACCTGAGCCAAAGGCAGAGGCTTTAACCCACTGAGCCACCCAGGTGCCCCTAGCAAATTTTCTTAAATGGCAAGATAATAAATATTTTAGGCTTGTAGGCCTTTTATTCTCTGTCACAACCAATCTATACTGCTACTGTAGCACCAAGCAGTCAGAAAACACCTAAGATGGGAATGGTTGAGATCCATGAAGGCTATTTGCAGAAACAGGTGGCCAGCCTGAGGGCAGTAGTTTGCTAACCTCTGGTCCAAAAGGGAAGCCATATTACTCTTCTTCTTAAAGAGAATTTGGTTGATCAACAATATTCTAGCCTTAGTCTTAGTAATACAGTCAATTAATACATGGAACAAAGTATCCGCCGCTCAACTGCCAATGTGATGATCTGTGTGAACCAGTCAACTCAGTGTGAATGGACAGAAGATAGTGTTATGTATTTTGATCTCAAGATGTCTCCTAACAGGCCCAAGGTGGGCAGCCAGACTATCCCTCTGTCGATCTTTATAGCTATAACTAAACAGACATTGTAAGAATGAGCTCTAAAAAATCCAAAACCCACCATTTACTAGCACTTAAAAAAAACAAAAGCAGAGTTTAGAATAAAAATTGAGGGAGTGCCAGTCAGTACCAAAACATCTTGACAATCAGTAAAAGCCTCTTAAGAGAGGGGCGCCTGGGTGGCTCAGTGGGTTAAGCCTCTGCCTCCAGCTCAGGTCATGATCCCAGGACCTGGGATCGAGCCCCACATCGGGCTCTCTGCTCAGTGGGGAGTCTGCCTCCCCTTCTCCCTCTGCCTGCTTCTCTGCCTACTTGTGATTTCTGTCAAATAAATAAATAAAATCTTTAAAAAAAAAAGTCTAGAAATTTAAATGATTCAATTAAAAGGCTGAATCAAAATATGAAGGCTTTAGGGGTACCTGGCTGGCTCAGTAGGTGGAGTCTGCAATTCTTGATCTTAGGGTTATGAGTTCAAGCCCCACATTAGGCACAGAGCTCATTTAAAAAAAAACCAAAGTGAGGATGTTAGTATAACTGGCACATTAGTTTAGCAAAAGGTATAGATGGTAATTAAGAGGATATTGCAAGCTGACATCCAAACTGTAGTTAAGAAAGAAAATACTTAGATCAGCCATCTGCAGAAATGATACAAACCAAGAAATGCTGGGCATCAGTTTTAGGAATACTATCAAGGTGACTGAAGCAGACTGAAGAATATGGTTTTTTTTTTCTTTAAAGATTTTATTTATTTCACAGAGAGGGAGTACAAGCAGGGGGCGTGGGAGAGGGAGAAGCAGGCTTCCTGCTGAGCAGGGAGCCCATTGTGGGGGCTCGATCCCAGGACTTTGGGATCATGACCTGAGCCGAAGGTAGATGCTTAACCACTGAGCCACCCAGGTACCCTGAAGAATATAGTTCTTGATGAGATCAATAGTATAGCTTGCTAAATGAAGACTGATTAGGTGAGAGCCCTATGGTGGAAAGGTCAGGAGAGCAGCTTCCATTTACTCACTACAGAACACTTATCACATTCCAGAAGCTTTACACACATTGTTTGATTCAATCCTCATGAGTCTTACGAGGGGAGGAGTCTTCAGGGATGAGAAAACTTGGGAGATGTTAACCTGCCTAGTAGGAGGTAGAGCTGTGATTCAAACACAGTCCAGGACTCTACAACTGGTGCTCTTAACCATCTAACTGCATTTTTCAAATGGATCACCTGTAGAATTCTATCCTGCAATACTGTAAATGATAAGCTTTCAAAAATGTTCCATGGGCAAATGAGTTGGGAAATTGAGTGCTTAAACTGTACTTGAGGACTTCTCTGAGCCTTTACTGTAAATCTACAGACTAGAGAAAATAGCAAAACGGACTGACTGGCTTTTCTAGGTCATCTCTATCTTGCCCTTACTCTAACTGCACAAAGTGAATAATTAATGGAAAAGACTACTTCCAGGATGTGGACAAGATATGGCAGGAATATGTAATCAGAGTGCTCAAAAATGCTGTTTATATATGAATGTTTATGTATAACAAAAAATTACAAGTAGAAGAGTTTTTTAAAAAATTGAACTTAAATACATTAGATAATAGTTATAGTAAAAAATATGCTGTAATAATGGAAATGAAAGCTGTTTGGGCCCTCATGGTACCACCAACTCTTAGAAGATCTTAGCTATAAACAGGCAGGCAGATGATGTAATCTTTCTACATAATTAAAACCGGGTAAACCACAATAGGTGTGTTCCTTGAATAGTCTGCCAAATATTTTTCCAGATCTATTATAGCTATTGTGCAAATGGATTGGCATGTATTGTTATGTCCTTAATGTGTACATCGTTAAGAGGTCGATAGGTCTTCTCATTTACTGGTAACTTCTCCAATTCATCCAGAGTCTCCAGACCATCTATCACCCTGAAAGAGAAACAATTTAAATGGATGAAAATTTCCTTAGATTGAAACATAATATCCAAATACCTATTATAGCAATTACAGTTTCCTGAAAGGACCATGCTCATAGTTCTTTGAATTCCCTAGTTCAGTGGACAATAAAAAATATTGATTTTTTGCCATGGATAGGAGTCAAATTTCAGAAACAAAAATTCATTTTTATGCCTTTAGACAACAGCAATGGGTAGGAATACTACCATCAAAGTACTCACACAGCACAGCTACAAATGGATCTAATATAAACCAGTCGTAAGATTTTCTTTGGTATCGGAAAGCCCAGAGAAAGTACGGAAGGATGACTCCAAAATACTCACTTTCCAAATACTGTGTATTTCATGTCCAAATGTGGCTGCTTGCCATAGGTGATGAAGAACTGAGATCCATTGGTGTTTGGGCCGTTATTAGCCATAGATACAACACCTCTAACATTGTGCTGTAAAAGATAGGTCAAAATATTTACCTGTGTTTTAATATAAATATTCCAAATATAGGACTGAAACAAGACCTGTACTTTTTAAGGGACCAAGAAAACATTTAATCAGCTTCTATTAGGGCTAATCCAAACGTTCACTTTTTGTATTATCTGTATTTCTAAAACTTGTATGTAAATTGGTCATGTATCAAATCACATGCCCCAGTTAATTTCATTTTCACTTTGGAGGAGTACAGCCACAAACATTTTTCACAATACCAAGGTATAATAGAAATCCTTACATTTATATTAGGGAACATGCTGGCATGAAACGATCAGGCATACAACAAAACCAAAATCCCCATAATCTCTTCACATATACACTGGACTCTGGCTAGTTTCTGTATCTGTAAAACAAGGGAGGGTGGTTGGACTAGTTCAGGGGTTTATTCATAACTCAAATGCTCACAAGGGTCAGCAGGTAATAAATTAATTGGACAGAATGTACATATTGGGGAGTGATGGAGTCTGGCAAAAGGAATGGTGTTATCTCTTGCCTGATAGCACTAAACTTTTTTTTTTTAAGCCAATGGCTATTGAGAATATATCTTGGGTCTTCTACCCAAGGGCAGTCAGTTCATGACCCAGGACTGAATAATCTAAGGGAAGGTTTCCTACAGCTCTAATTTCATGATAGTATTTGTTATACAAGTAATTATTTAAAGAATTAAAAGGACTCTACTGATAAGATGGAACACATGACAGAACTGTGTTATAAGGAGGCACTGCCAATAATGATTATTCTCTCTTTAGCTATTCATCAGGAAACACTAGTGAGACAAGCAACAGAAATATAGCTACATCAAGATATTAATGTTTTGATGGACATCAAGGAGGGCATGTGATGTAATATATAATATATAAAACTGATGAATCACAGGCCTGTACCTCTGAAACCAGTACTATGTTATATGTCAATCAATTGAATTTTAAAAATGTGAAAAAAAGATATTAATGCTTGATTGTCTTCCTAAAAGGTGACTCCCAAATGTTACATTTGATACATACACAAGAGTGTAATGTACCCCTTAGTACTTAATACTCATTAATCTATTTCTAAGATTTAAGAATCCAACTTACCAAACTGTTGCATATGCCTGTATACTCCTTATCTATCACCTCAACCTCTCCGAGAACCATTATTCTACTATCTTTAAATATGCCTAAACAATATATTTTTTTCTTTTGCTTGTTTTTGAGCTAAGATCGTATCATACTATTTTAATTTTTTAAATTTAAGTTAAAAAATTAAAAAAAAAACAGGAATGCATTAGTTTTTTAATTAAAAAAAAAGAAACAACAACAAATGTTTCGTGGGGTACCTGATGAGCTCAGCTGATGAAGCATGCAACTCTTGATTTTGGGGTTGTAAGTTTGAGCCCCACGCTGGGTGTAGAGATTACTTAAAAATAAATTTTTTTTATATGAAATTAAAAAGAAAAGGTTCTTTAGAAAATTTGAAAAATCAAGAAAATGTGAAAGAAAAATGTGAAAAGAAAAAAACAGGGACCCCTGGGTGGCTCAGTTGGTTAAGCAGCTGCCTTCGGCGCAGGTCATGATCCCAGCGTCCTGGGATCGAGTCCCACTTCAGGCTCCTGGCTCGGCAGGGAACCTGCTTCTCCCTCTGCCTCTGCCTGCCTCTCTGCCTGCCTGTGTGCTCACTCGCTCTCTCTGATAAATAAATAGATTTAAAAAAGAAAAAAAAGAAAAAAACAGGAGGGAAAATAAAAATCTCTAATTTCACCATGCTCTGCCCCTCCCTTTAACCTAGCGGGACATCTAGCCCTCTCGGTACATTACCGCTTAAACATTTCAGGTTGGAGCGGAAGATAAGCTCACTTAATACTAAAATACATGGGATTGTGAGATTCCAAAATACACTTATATATTCCAAAATACATTTAAGGCATTTCTTGCCATTTTCTCCCTGACGTTTATCAAGTTTACTAAAACTACAAAAAAAGTAAGTCTGTATACTAATGACTAACCGATGACATTCACAACGTGCGTACTACAAGTTTTCACGTGTAAACGAGGCGCGAGAGCACAGATCGCCGAAGCCCCAGGGGTGTACCTTCAGATATTCACTATATTCATCCTCAAACTTCTTGCCCCAGACACTGTTACCTCCTCTTCCGGTACCTACGTTACAAGACAAGTCAAAAGAAGTCTCTAATTACAAAGAACAAAGTATCAGGGCGCCTGGGTGGCTCAGTGGGTTAAGCCGCTGCCTTCGGCTCGGGTCATGATCCCGCGGTCCTGGGATCGAGTCCCGCGTCGGGCTCTCTGCTCAGCGGGGGGCCTGCTTCCCTCTCTCTCTCTGCCTGCCTCTCTGCCTACTTGTGATCTCTGTCTGTCAAATAAATAAATAAAATATCTTAAAAAGAAAAAACAGAAACCAAAGTATCTAGTTAAAAGTTGAAAAGGTTGATTTTCTTTTCCTTTTTTTTTTTTTTTTTTTTTTAAGAGTTTATTTACTGGAGAGAGAGAGAGGCAGAGCTAGAGAGCGCAGGAGCAGGGAGGACAGGCAGGAGCAGGGAGGACAGGCCGGAGCAGGCTAGCCACTGAGCAGGGGGCCTGATGCCAGAACTCAATTCCAGGACTCCAGGATCATAAACTGAGTTGAAGGCAGTCACTTAACCAACTGAGCCACCCAAGTGGCTTCAGTTTCTAAAACATATGGGCTATTTTATAACTATTTATTTATTTTTAAGAATATTTTATTGATTCATTTGACAGAGACACAGCGAGAGAGGGGACACAAGCAGAGGGAGAGGGAGAGGGAGAAGCAGGCTTCCCACTTAGCAGGGAGCCCGATGTGGGGCTCCATCCCAGGACTCTAGGATCATGACCTGAGCCAAAAGCAGACACTTAACGAATGAGCCACCCAGGCGCCCCTGTTTATCTATTTTTATTTTATTTTATTTTATTTTTATAAGATTTTATTTATTTATTCGACACACAGAGATCACAAGTAGGCAGAGAGGCAGGCAGAGAGAGAGGAAGGGAAGCAGGCTCCCTGCTGAGCAGAGAGCCCGATATGGGGCTTGATCCCAGGACCCTGGAATCATGACCCGAGCTAAAGGCAGAGGCTTTAACCCACCGAGCCACCCAGGTGCCCCTGTTTATCTATTTTTAAAGATTTTATTTATTTGTGTGAAAGAGAAAAAGAGTGCACAGCTGGGGGAGAGGCAGAGGGAGAGGGTGAAGCAGGCTCCCTGCTGAGCAGGGAGCCCAACATGGGGTTCAATCCCAGGACCCTGAAATCATGATCCCAACCAAAGGCAGATGCTTAACCAACTGAGCTCCCCAGGCACCCCAATAATTCTTTAAATATAAATAACATTTGGGGTGGCTGGGTTGTTCAGTTGGTTTAGACTCTGCCTTCAGCTTTAGTCATGATCCCAGGGTCCTGGGATCGAGTCCCACATGGGGCTCCCTGCTCAGTGGGGAGTCTGCCTCCCCCTCCCACCCCCATTGTCATCCCCCGCCCCGGTGCGCGCACATGCATTCACTCTCTCAAAAATAAATTTAAAAAATAAAGATAAAATTTGATATGTCCTCTCTTCTCAAAATTTCACTTTACAGACCAGAAAAATAAAGTATCTCTACAAAAAAAGAAATCCTTTTACTGTCAATAGTGTTGATATTTTAAGATGTTATTTATTTATTTTGAAAAGAGACAGTGTAATGAGCAGGAGGGGCAGAGGGAAAGGAAGACGGAACTGAAGCAGACTCTGCACCCAGCACAGAGTCTGATGCAAATCTTGATCTCACTCCCCCAAGATCACAACCCAAGCCGAGACCAAGAGTTCAATGCTCAACCCACTGAGCCACGCAAGCACCCCATCCTAATTTAATTTAAAGCTAGATGCCAGTAGCTTCTACTTAAAAAATTTCTTGCTATGGTAAGGTAGCCAGGTTATAAAAACTCTATGTGCTTATATCTTTGGTTTTCTTTTATAAAAATTAATTTTATTTATTAAAAAAAATTACTTTTATATATATATTCTCTAAGTAGGCTCCAAGTCCAGCGGGGCTTGAACTTAGAACCCTGAGATCAAAACCTGGATCAAGGGGCGCCTGGGTGGCTCAGTGGGTTAAGCCGCTGCCTTCGGCTCGGGTCATGATCTCAGGGTCCTGGGATCGAGCCCCGCGTCAGGCTCTCTGCTCAGTGGGGAGCCTGCTTCCTCCTCTCTCTCTCTGCCTGCTTGTGATCTCTGTCAGATGAATGGGTAAAATCTTTAAAAAAAGCAAAAACAAAAAAAAACCTGGATCAAAATCAAGAGTCAGATAGTTAACCTCTTTGAGCCACCCAGACAACCCCCCAACTATTTTTAATTTGAGCATAGTCGATATACTGTGTTACATTAAATATTTTTTTTATTTTTTGTCTACTCTCTTTATACTATGTACCCAATTCTCTAGATATCAATGGAGAAACTTACCTGTCGGATCTCCTGTTTGAACCATGAAACCCTTGATATTTCTATGAAATATACAGCCATTGTAGTAATTACTGGCACAAAGAGCCAAAAAATTCTGAAAAGAGTAAAAATAATGATTGGGAAATGATGTAACAGAAACGCATTTAAAGCAATGAGCAAACAGTCTTATTTACTAAAAACACCATTAACAATGCATTTATGTTTTTAGGGATTACTTTGGATCTCACTTTTCTGCCCAAAACACTTTAATGGCTTCCTTTTGTTCTTGGAATAGAATAGACAATCCTACCTCTACATCTCATGTGTTAATAATTTCTTTCTGTTACTATGTTAACCCCACTATCATTCTGAAAATTCATCTGAAAGGGGTAGGCTTACCCACCTAAGGCCTTTGTACTTCTATCTCTATACCTGGAATATTCTTTTTATCTCTTTCTGTGGAAATGCCTTCATTACCTTCTGCATTCAGTTTAAGTATCACTTTCTTGGCTAGGCCTGCCCTCAACTTCTTTTAAATAATTCCTTTCCATTAGTCTCCATTTCAATGCTTTGTTTCCTACAATGCATTATCATGATCTGGAATCATTTTTTTTCTAGAATGACTCTCCCGCCCCCAACTTATTTTCTCAGAGTATTAGCTCTGTAAGGGCAAGGAATATCTCTTGTTCATTACTATATTCCTTAACCCTGGCAAGATAGTCTTTCATAAATAATTGCTGAATGAATATATAGAGAGAGCTAACTTTTCCTTTCCTTGTCATTTAAATAATTAAAATAATGTAAGAAACAGTTCTCTTACCTAATATCCTAATAAAATGAAAAGAAAAAGATACCCACGACTCTGCAGTTAAAGAAAAATTATCAATCCTTTCTTTGCTCCACCTTTAACATCAAAAGTAAGTAGAAACTGGGGCACCTGGGTGGCTCAGTTTGTTAAAGCCTCTGCCTTCGGCTCGGGTCATGATCTCAGGGTCCTGGGATCAAGCCGTGCATTGCAGGGTGTGTGGGAGGGGTCTCTGTTCAGTGGGGAGCCTGCTTCTCTCTCTCTCTCTCTCTGCCTGCCTCTCTGCCTACTTGTGATCTCTCTCTCTCTGTTAAATAAATAAAATCTTTTAAAAAAAAGAAAAAAAGTAAGTAGAAACTAAGTGAGAAATTATGATGCCTAGTTTTTCCTGACACTGGTTTTATATACAAGTGTTCATTGTTTTTTAGGATAGGTAATTTCAAAATGGTTATCCTGCTGCATTAACTCATTAACTTATAGGTACATAATGGTACTCACCTCACAAGTTTTGGGTGTCCTCTCACAGAAAACTTCTATTTTAATATCACCTACATCTGTATGCAGTGTCACTGACTAAAAACGAGAAAAAAAAATAACAAATGAGATTTCTTCATGACTTTATGCACTGTATTTATTTCCCAAACTAGGATAAAGATGACAATCTGAATGAAAACACAAAAAACAACATTTCAGAGATGAACTGTCCTCATAGCTGAGAGTAAGCTGTACTTCTTCAAAACTTATTTCAACAATAGAAAAAAAAAAAACTCCAGAAGATGAATATGTTAATGTAAAATGCTATCTACCCTACACATTTGATAGTAAATACTATAATGGAAATACTTAAGTGTGAATTTTTCATCAATAAAAATGAGAACAATGGTCATGTTAGTAATACTGATTTAAATGGCAACACACCAACATCATTTATATTGAAAAACAGTAAGAAAATGACTTTTCAAAACAGAGGTTCCACCATTTCCCTTATGTAATTTAATTCTGAGTGACAGTGTTAAAAACAATTCCTTTCTTCACTAAAGACAACAGTCTTCTGTGTTTCTAGATCCTAAATGTGCAGAGGTAACCATATTATCCTTGCTTGCTTTTTGTTTAGCTGCTGTTCCAGTAACTTGCACATTCCTTTTGCTGCTTCATTGTGGGGTTGGGGGTTACTCTGAGGCTTCCTTTTTCATTTCTCTTCTCCCAATAGTTTCTAGCAGTCAGAAAGTATGGTCAGGTTGATAGAGGGCAGGAGTGTGTGAGCCGGGGGTAGGGTGGGAGGGATACAGAGCATTATTCTCATTGCTTGTCTTCTATGTCAAGCTCTGGTTGCCACCTTAGATCCAGAACAAAAGGATTCAGTTAAAATTATCACACCTGGGTATACTCTGCAGCTCCCTCTTTCCATGTATATGTTGTAATCAATCTTTTTCTGTAAAAAGTAAATTCTGTGCATTTTAAGTGAAAACACTGAAGAATTTAAAAGTAATTTTGCTTCTGGTTTTCTTTAGAGCAGTCATCCAGTGTGTGCTTCTGTCTTACCATTTCTGTCTTGCCATTAAAGTCCATGCAGTTTTATTTCCCTTGAGTGAATTTCTAAAAATTATTTATAATGAAAGACATTAAGAATTGTACAAAACTGGGAACGCCTGGGTGGCTCAGTAGATTAAGCGTCAGCCTTGGTCTCCGGTCATGATGCCGCGGTCCTGGTACTGAGTCCCACATTGGGCTCCTTGCTCAGCCGGGAGAACCTGCTTCTCTCTCTGCCTGCTCTGCCTGCCTCTCCCCCCATTGTGCTCTCTCTCTCTCCGACAAATAAAATCTTAAAAAAAAAAAAAAATTGTACAAAACTTACCATTTTTCTTCTTGATGGTTTCAGGAAGTACTACTGCTGAATTTCTCAGTCTTATCAAGAGAAGTTGGAAAACGTGTCTCTATTCCCGAAAGAGAAAACTATGTTTATTTTCCTCTCAACTCACACATGCTCATTTTTACTGCATTTTTAAAAGAAAACGTCTCGAACAGCACCCCCAAGTAATAAAAATCTGACTATGGAAACGATGAGAACCTTCCCGACTCAAGCCCCTCAATCTCTCACTCCTATTCAAAAGTCTCCCTGCAACTCCTGCAAGTCAGGTACATTTCCGCCTTGGGGTCTAGACACTGAGTGTTCTCCCTCTGGAGCACGTAAACTCAGACGTCTGGACAGTTCCATCCCTCACGTCCAAGTCTCTGCTCAAAAGTCAGGTCTCACTGGCCTGATAACTCTATTTAAAACTGCCTTCACTGTAGGACCTGCCCAATTATCTTCTCCTATAGCACTTACCAATAATACGCTATAAATTTTTCTAAATGAGTCTGTTCCAACACCACCCTCCCCGCCCGGTACGCTCACTTGAAGCAGCCCAAGAGCCAAAACAAAGAGCTTATCAAGAATCTAGGTAAGTGTGGGGCGCCTGGGTGGCTCAGTGGGTTGAGCCTCTGCCTTCGGCTCAGGTCATGGTCTCAGGGTCCTAGGATCGAGCCCCGCGTCGGGCCCTTTGCTCGCGGTGAGCCTGCTTCCCCCTCTCTCTGCCTGCCTCTCTGCCTACTTGTGATCGATCTCTCTGTCAAATAAATAAAATCTTAAAGAAAAAAAAATCTCGGTAAGTGAAGGAGACTGAGTGATGTTACTTACCACTTCAGCTAGCACAGCTGTTGTTTAAACAACAACAACAACAAAAATCCCTTGCATAGACCCACGTTTCGAAGTTAAGAGTCTTCGGGCTACCGGAAGTCGAGCGCGGGACGGATTAGAGAGTATGCCTCTCACCTCCTCGCCTCGTTTTACCTCCTCCTTCCTTCCTATTTCAAACCAAAATGACTACAGCTAGGAAGACAATGTAATTTATCCGCACCTGGTACCTTTTGACAGCGAAAGAGAGCTCTTTTAATAAGTGTACAAGGACACGAAACGTAAACCGGAACCATTCCGCGCAACCTCTAGCAGTGCCTTGGGCTCCAACGTAAAACGGGGAGGACCAGTTCCGCCCGGCTCCTTCCCATCCCATCCTGCAGTGCCAGGAGGCCCTGCGCAGGACCGGAAGTAGTGAGTGCAGTTCGTGGCGGGCGTGTGGTTAGTGCGCTCTGTGGAGGTTACGAGGGTGCTTCTGGGAGGGAAGGCGGAGGAGGAGACGGGGAGGATATTTGTCTGTAGCTTGAGGGCACAGGGCGCTAGTGGGTAGGAGTGCCTACTCAGGAGCTTCAGGCTGGGTCTCGCCTCTTCATTGTCCTGGAAAAGGTCTGAAGTGGGACTAAAATGGGGAGGTATCTGAAGTCACGGTGCAGGGTGCAGTTTGCAGGCTGTAAAGTGGTCCATACTGCTGTCGCTTAAAAACAGTGCTGACACTGGGCATTGTTCCCAGCTGTACGGTTACATCTCGACCACACTGTAAGCGGGCACGGTTATTTTTATTCTAAGGTGGGCGAAACAACAGACGTTAGGAGATGGGTTACAACACGGCTGCGGCTCTGGGAGTCGGTCTGGTTTCAGAGTGGGTGCTTCTGCCCACCCGCTGTGCCGCCTCCCGTGGTTAATTGCGGCGTCAAGCCACGCAGCCTCGCAGTTTCCTGATCTGTGAAATGGAGGGTGTTCTCTGTTATTTTGAAGGGCTCTTTCAAATTTTGCAGTACATAACTCAAAACTGTGGTGGGCCACTAGGGCTTTACTTTGACGCCTGCCAGATTTCTAAGAGTCTGGAGAGCGGGGCGGTATCAGTACTTGGAATCCGGAGAAGGAAAGTGTGTAAGGACCTTTAGAAGATCTTCAAGACCCCAGGCTCCAGTGGGTTTTGGAGGCTCCGCATCATTTCAAATCAGATTCTGAATAAGTACACACATGTCGTAGTAAATGTTTTTTGCTGAAAAAGTACATTTTTTCTTTTTTTTTAAAGATTTTATTTATTTGACACACAGCGAGACAGTGAGAGATGCTTAACGACTGGGCCCCCCAGGCCCCCCTGAAAAAGTACATTTTTCAACAAATTTGTTAAATATTTTTGTGGAAATACTTGGTTTTGAAATTACGATTATCTGGTTAAATTTACAGTTGGCTACGCTTATCTTGTCAGTTACGCATACTATGAATGCTTTTTTTCAAAAATAGAAATGTTCCTGGATTCTAACTGAAGTTGATTGTTAGTTTTGTATAGGGCCTAGACACTGAAAAGGTTTTTTGAGAAGCTTTATTTGGGAAGTTGAAGGAGTCTTGGAAGAAAGGGTGGTATTTAAAGAACTGGAGAAGGGAGGAGAGTGGTTGAAGCAAGAATGGGGAGAACAAGAATCAGGGCTTGTGTGAGGTCCAGGAAGTGGGGAGGAACATTTTGTGTATCATGTACCAAGCTCATGCTAGGTGACTTACACGTATTAATTCATTTGCTCCTGTGAATGGCTTCTGATGTAGGTTATAGTGTCTCCCATTTTGTAAATGAGAAAATAACCTCAGGTTAAATGAGTTATCTAATATATTGTGTGATGGTAACTGGCAGAATTAGTATCTGAACCCAGGAATATGTGACTACAGCTCTTTTGCTCCTTTGCTTTGCTCCCTTGAAGGTCCAGGCCTAAAGTGTGTCTATGTACCATTTTCTGTGTTTTGACTTCAGATACTCAAGTTTTGCCTGATTTCTGTATGTTGTCATCTGTACGCCTCATTCGCAGAACAGTCCGGCTTGTTCATTCCCCAGTCTGCAATCCTTCCCGCTCCTTCATGGATTTGAAGGTGCTCGTTTCTTCCTTGAATGACTTTGCGTCCCTCTCACTTGCCGAGAGTTGGGACAATGTTGGGTTACTGGTGGAACCAAGCCCACCACACACCGTACACACTCTCTTTCTTACCATTGACTTGACCGAGCAAGTAATGGAGGAGGCACTGCAGAAGAAGGTGGATCTCATTCTCTCCTACCACCCACCCATCTTCCGACCCCTGAAGCATATAACCTGGAAAACCTGGAAGGAGCGCCTGGTGATCCGGGCTCTGGAAAACAGAGTCGGTATTTACTCTCCTCACACAGCCTATGATGCTTCACCCCAGGGAGTCAACAGCTGGTTGGCTAAAGGGCTTGGTGAGAAGCCTCTTATTCTTTCCTGTTTACTATTTTCCCTACAAATGCTTTCAAATTTTAGAATGTCTTTCCAAAAGAATTTTAACTGCTTTAGCTGTGGGTACCATGATTTTATTTTTATATATTTAAAAAATAATGTGAAATCTGGCACCTGTATTTGATAAATGAAATTTTTATCCTTAACGAATAAGGAGAGCATAGGCAATCTTCATTGCTGGATTGAGCTTTGGGAGTCCTCACTCAAGTGTCACAGTGCCTAGCACCCGGAAGTTTGAGAAGTGCTTGTTAAATTGAGTCCAGAGCTCTGGCCTCTCCAGAATATACTTCATGTGTCAGTTAAATAGACCTCAGAGTTTTATTGAATGCTTACTCCTGCCCAGTACAATGAAGGACTTTAGCCTATGCGTTTTAGTTTTACTTTTAGTAAGTTACTTTAGTTTACTCGTTTGGGGCTGAAGCTTTTATGATTGTATAACCTGGATTAATGTGGTCAAGTAGGCTATGAAAATTTGCAACCAGAATGATGGTTTACGTGAATAAATTTAGGAAGCAGTCACAAATTCCGTATATCCTCTAAGTATTCATGAGTCAAGTTATTGTGTTATTTAAGAGTCTTCTGGAAAATAATTCTGAAAACAAATTGGTTCTGTATGTACGAAATCCTCTGTGATGGCGATTTAGGTATATAGGATTTCGGTGTACATATAAGAGATACGTGTGCATGTGTGTTACTTAAGTGTCTTAGAATTGATCTTTAAAAACTCATTTCCTTAAAAATTTTGCCCATAACAGTTTATCTTTTTAATTAAAAAAAAAAAACAAAAAAACCACCATTTTTTCCCTAGGAGTTTGCACCTCCAGGCCCATACATCCTTCCAAAGCTCCCACCTACCCCACAGCGGGGACGCACAGGGTCGAATTCAGTGTTAACGGCACCGAAGACCTGGACAAAGTGATTTCTGCAGTGAAAGAAATTGCAGATGTTTCTGTCACTTCTTTTTCTACAAGGTACGATATATTTTTCTCCTTTTTTATGTATATTTATCTGTATGGATCTCCGTTATAAATTCTATAACCCTGCTATTTAGATCTATTTTCCCCCAGAGTGGGTTTCTAGGGCAGCACACTTCTCATCCGCATGTGGGTGTTCCATGGGGTCTTTTCAAAACAGTTATAATGACAAGTAGCACTGTTTTCTATGTGGGAGGGACTGTGCTACACCTTTTGCTTATAATATTTCTAATCCTCCTGATAACGTTGAAAGGTAGTTTTTTACCTGAGAGTATATAGATAAACCTATTGATAACACTGATTACATGGATTTACCTTCAGTTTCAGTTTCAGAATCACTTTCAGTGATTCCCAAGCACTTTTTTTTTTTTTTTAAGATTTTATTTATTTGACAGACAAAGATCACAAGTAGGCAGAGAAGCAGGCAGAGAGAGGAGGAAGCAGGCTCCCCACCGAGCAGAGAGCCCGATGCTGGGCTCGATCCCAGGACTGTGAGATCATGACCTGAGCTGAAGGCAGAGGCTTAACCCACTGAGCTACCTAGGCGCCCCTCCCAAGCACTTTTTAAAATTTTATTTATTTTTGGGCATCTGGGTGGCTCAGTCCATTAAGCATCTGCCTTTGGCTCAGGTCATGATCTCAGGGTCTTAGGATCGAGCCCTGCATTGGGCTCCCTGCTCAGTGGGGAGCCTGCTTCTCCCTCTCCTACTCCCCCTGCTTGTGTTCCCTCTCTTGCTGTGTCTCTCTTTGTCAAACAATAAATAAAATTTAAAAAAAAAAAGTCTCTTATGGTTTGCCTCCTCTGTTTTCATCTTATTTTATTTTTCCTTCCCTTCCCCTGTGTTCATCTGTTTTGTTTCTAAAATTCTACATACGAGTGAAGTCATACGGTATTTGTCTTCTCTTATTTTGCTTAGCATAATACTCTAGTTCATCTACATAGGTAGATTCATTATTTTTGATGGCCGAGTAATAGTCCATTATGGATATGTACCATGTTTTCTTTATCCATTTATTTGTTGATGGACATCTCTGCTCTTTCTGTATTTTGGCTATTGTGGACATTGCTGCTATAAACATTGGGGTACATGTACCACTTCCAATCACTATGTTTCTATCCTTTAGATAAATACCTAGTAGTGCAATTGCTGGGTTGTAGGGGAGTTCTATTTTTAAGTTTTGAGGAACTCGGTACTATTTTCCAGAGTGGCTGCACCCAGTTTGCATTCACAACAACAGTGCAAGAGGGTTCCCCTTTCTCCAAGTCCTCCTGAATACTTTAAAGGAAAAAATAAACAGACCATTCAGGTGTCTCTTATAAGGCCAATCATTTATTTAGGGCAGAGATAGCAAAATGGTGCCTCATAGAAGGTTTCCTTTGAAGCTAATTTATCCTCATGCCTTTTAAAACATGTTAAAAGACAAGTTATACAAAGCTGGAACTTAATAATTGTTTAACAAACAAAAATAAAGGGGCACCTGGGTGGCTCAGTGGGTTGAGCCTCTGCCTTCAGCTCAGGTCATGATCTTGGGGTCCTGGGATCAAGCCCCACGTTGGGCTCTCTGCTCAGAGGGAGCCTGCTTCCTCCTCTCTCTCTCTCTTCCTGCCTCTCTGCCTACTTCTGATCTCTGTCAAATAAATAAATAAATAAAATCTTTAAAAAAAAAAAAAAAGATTTTAATAAAATGGAAATCTATATCAGGCTACAACAAAAAGTGATTCTTTCATAAGTGGTTTGATTTTGTTTTGTTTTTAAAGATTTTATTTATTTGAGAGAGAATGAGCAAACGTGCGTGCACACACAAGCGGGGCGGGGCAGAGGGAGTGGGAGATAAGCAGACTTCTTTCAGAGCAGGGAGCGCAATGTGGGGCTCAGTCCCAGGACCATGAAATCATGACCTGGGCCAAAGTCAGATGCTTAATCAACTGAGCCAATGAGGTGCCCCTTAAGAGAGGTTTTTAAGTGTAGACCTTTTATAATTGAAAATGTTTTTTAATAGTGTTGAGGAATTTAAAGACTCTCAAGAGAAATTATAGGACTTTATAGATTCCAGTAATGGCGGTCTTGTACCTTATTGAAATACTGTGTAAGTACTGATATTAAAAGACAGTGATACAAATAAAGAAAATTTCAAACAATACAGAAGTCCTCCTTGTTCCTTTTACTCAAGTCCTATATCTTCAGTGCGAATGATCTTTTCCCTGTTTTCAGAGAAGTGGGTATCTTTCCATACAAATACAGGGATCTGAAGAAATGTATAGTTTTTTGGTTGTTTTCCCCCACTTAATTAAGTGATATGCTGTATTTGTCTTTCTTATTACCAGGGTGTCTTAGAGATCATCCCATGTAGTTATAGAAGATCTCTTTGCCTGATGTGTAATGTTTCTTATTTTAGATGTACCAGGTTTCTTTTTTTTTTTTTAAGATTTTATTTATTTGAGAGAGAGAGACAGTGAGAGAGAGCATGAGCGAGGAGAAGGTCAGAGAGAGAAGCAAACTCCCCGTGGAGCTGGGAGCCCGATGCAGGACTCGATCCCGGGATTCCAGGATCATGACCTGAGCTGAAGGCAGTCCAACCAACTGAGCCACCCAGGCGTTCCTAGATGTACCGGGTTTCTTTTATTCATCCTTCTTCTTACTTAATGAGCTTTTCCCCCCCCCCCCCACAACTGATGCACATTTGGTTTTAGTTTTTCCCTATTACAGGTAATATCTGGGTTTTACCATTAGATTGGGGTCCAGGCAGGTTTTCCTTTTTTTTTTTCAAACTCCATAGAGGATTCTAGTGTTGACAACTACTCTTCCAGATTCTTTTTTTTTTTTTTTAAGATTTTATTTATTTATTTGACAGAGATCACGAGTAGGCAGAGAGTCCGGCAGAGGGTGGGGCGGGAAGCAGACTCCCTGCTGAGCAGAGAGCCCGGCGTGGGGCTTGATCCCAGGACCCTGAGATCATGACCTGAGCCGAAAGCAGAGGCTTTAACCCACTGAGCCACCCAGGCACCCCCGCTCTTCCAGATTCTTTTAAGGTGTCTTTTAGTTCTAGACTTCTATGATTGTATTTAGAGTTTATGGTTAAATAGAGAACTTTCCTGATGCCAGTCTTTTTGGAGAGGCTGTATGGCATTGCTTTTCAGAGGGTGACTCAGGGAGCCCCTACATCAATGTTAATGGGATGCTTATGAAAAATGCGTATTTTTGGCTTTTCATTCTAGATCTATGTAACTAGAATAGAGTTTGCTTGAAAATCTGTCCCGGAGAATCTTGTATTCAGTGATATTTGAAAGTTAACTTCTGTAGGGCCTTAAAAAAATGCAGTTTGCTGTAGTCCCATTCATAGAAGTTCTTTTTCATTGGATCTGTGGAAGAGTCCAGCAGCTATCATTTTAAGAAGGTAGCAGATTGCTGATGCACACCTGGAATTAAGAGTAGTTCTGTAACAGGCCCCTGGAAGGCTCAGTAGGTTAAGCATCTGCCTTTGGCTCAGGTCATGATTCCGGGGTCCTAGGATCAAGCCCTGCATCAGGCTCCCTGCTCAGTGGAGAGTCTGCTTCTTCCTCTCCTGCTTCTCCTGCTCTGTGCTGTCTCTCTCTCTCTCTGTCAAATAAGTAAAATTAAAAAAAACAATAGTTCCGTAACAATGGTTTCAAAATGAGGTCCCTGGGTCAGCAACATCAGCATCACCTGGAACTTGTTAGAAAGGTCTCAGATCACAACCTAGAACTACTGAATCTGGGGGGTAGAGCTCAGCAATCTGTGTTTTATTAAGTCTACAGGGAGATTTTGTGGTGCCTGGGTTACTCCTGGGTTAAGCATCTGACTCTTGGTTTCCGCTCAGGTGGTGACCTCAGGGTCATGAGAGTAAGCCCCTTGTTGGGATCTGTACTGAACACAGAGACTGCTTGAGATTTTCTCTCCCTCTTCTTCTCTCTCGCTCTCATAAATGAATCTTAAAAAAAGAAGTTTACAAGAAGATTTTGATGCATACAGAAGTTTTTTGTTTTTAAAAATATTTTATTTATTTATTTAACAGAGAAATCACAAGTAGGCAGAGAGGCAGGCAGAGAGAGGTGGGGGAGCAGGCTCCCTGCTGAGCAGAGAGCCTGATTCGGGGCTCGATCCCAGGGCCCTGAGATCATGACCTGAGACGAGGGCAGAGGCTTAACCCTCTGAGCTACCCAGGTGCCCCTGATGCATACGGAAGTTTGAGAAATTACTGTTCTAGAAAATAGTTTGGTTTGGGATCGAATCCTAAATTTCATGGAATCTAATCTCTTTTACAGGAGTTGTAAAATGGATTGTTTAAAAATACATTTCATGGGGCATCTAGGTGGCTCGGTCGGTTAAGTGCCTGGTTAAGCATCTGTCTCTTGGTTTCCGCTCAGGTCACGATCTTAGAGTGACGAGACTGAGCCTCTTGGCAGCGAGGTCCAAGCTCAGCCCAAAGTCTGTCTGGGATTCTCCCTCCCTCTCCCTCTGCCCCTTTTGTGAGCACGTGCTTGTGCGTGCTCTCTCTCAAATAGGTAAATAAAATCTTTATGAAAAATAAAATACATTTCACTTACATTTATCCTAAAGGAGCAAGTGATTTTTTTTTTCTTTTATAGGACTGATGATGAGGAGCAAACACGGATTAGTCTGAATTGTAGTCAGGAGGCTTTGATGCAAGTGGTGGCTTTTCTTTCCCAGAGCAGACAGTTCTATCAGAAGACCGAAATTCTGTCACTGGAGAAGGTAATAAAAATACATTACTGTGCATTTTTGTTTGACAGTTTCATTTGTAGATTGGTAGATCGACAGGCTATGATAACTATTACTTAAAGAAGCACAAGGTGATATAGAGTGCATAAAACATCCTGAAAAAATAAATTGAGAAAGGGAGACATGCCAGGAGTGGAAAACTGTTGGTAGATGTTTCAGTCCATTTGGGCTGCTGTAACACATTTGGGCTGCTATGACAAAATACCCCAGACTGGATAGCTTGTGAACAACAGAAATTTTATTTCTCACAGTTCTGGAGGCTGGGAAGTCCAAGATAACAGTAACAGATTTGGAGTGGTGGCTGGTGAGGGCCTACTTCCTGGTTCATCAGCGGCACCTTCTCTCTGCATTCTCACATAAAAGGAAGGACTAGGGATACCCCTTGGAGCACTATTGTATAAGCGAATCCCATCATGTGGGCTCCCCACTTATGACTTAAGTACCCCCCCCAGATACCTCCTCATAGGGCTCCACCTCCTAATACCATCACCTTTGGGCGTTAGGATTTCAACATTTGAATTTGTGTGGGGGCAGAAACATTTGGATCATAGCAGTGCAGGACTTTAAAAAAAAAAGTTCTGATGTGGGGGCACCTGGGTGGCTCAGTCCATTAAGTGTCCAATTTTTGCTTTTGGTTCGGGTCCTGATCTCAGGGTCATGAGGTGCAGCTCCACACTGGGTGTAGATCCTGCTCAAAACTCCCCCTCCCCCCAAGCTCATATATCCATGCTCTCTCAAAAAAAAATAAAATAACTTTTTAAATTCTGGGTTTTTCTTTTAAGATTAAAAAAATTTATTTAGTTGTGAGAGCAAGAGAGAGCTCACAAGCAGAGTGAGAGGCAGAAGGAGAAGCAGACTCCCCACTGAACAGGGAGCTGGATGCAAAGTTCGATCCCAGGACTCCAGGATCATGACCTAGGCTAAAGGCAGATGCTTAACTAACTGAGCCATCCAGATGCCCCTTAAGTTTCTGTTTTTTATCGTTAAGTGCGGTTGACACCCAGTATTACAGAGCACTACTTTCTAGGGTTAGAAACTCAGTTACAGGTTCCAGGTTCTATCTCTTTTATACCCTCCACCTGGACCATTTTATTTGCTCCTTTAACCTGATTGCTCTTTATATAATGATTCCTATATCTTGATTTTTTAGCTCAGAATGCTTTCTTAATGTAAAAAGTTAAAAAACAAACCCATATTTCCAGGGACTTTCTGACATTTTCCTCTTAATGGATTCCACAGGTACTTCAGTATATACAATTACTGACCTTATTCCCTGTATCACCCCTTTATTTATTTTCATTTTTTTAGAGACAGCGTGAACACCTGTGAGAGCAGGGGTTGGAGGGAGGGGCAGAGAGAGGGAGAGGGGGAGAATTTGCCTTTCCAGAAGTCTGAGCTTGTAGAAGTCAGAGAATGTCTTCGTCAGGTTTCCATCCCCAGGCTTTAGCCTGGTGCTGACATACTAAGTTCCCAGTGTGCATGTTTTCTTCTCATCACGTGCTGTTTGTTTACTAGGACGAAGATGAACAGTTTTTCTAACTTCTGTTTCTCCTCAGCCTCTGCTCCTGCATGCTGGAATGGGACGGTTATGCACACTGGATGAATCTGTTTCCTTGGCTACCATGATTGAGCGAATCAAAAGGCACCTTAAACTACCTCATGTTCGCCTTGCTCTTGGGGTAGGAAGGACCTTAGGTAAATATGTACCATTTATTTGTCCGGTGTATTCACTAAGTAGTATTATGTAGTGTTTGGGCAAAAGTTGAAGTTCTTGGTTTTATTAATATAAGTGACAGGAAACATGTTCATGGGAGATGACTGGTTTCTTTTATCAGTCAGGGTAGACTAGATTATGCAGTGGTAAACATCTTATTGTCAAGCAAGATTTATGTCTCTCTCATATTTGCTGTTCATTTCAAGTCAGCAGAAGTCTTCTCACCGCAGACTGATTTCTATTGTAGGGAGGTAGTTTTAGAGGGTCTTAAACCATATTCTAGCGTGGAAATGATCCATTTTCTGTTCAACTCATTGTCCAGAATTAATCACATTGCCAGTACAAGCCAGGACGTGAAATGCAGTCCTACCATGGGCCAAGAGGAGAGCCGGAAATTGTTATTGCTCCAATTAACAATGCAAATGTTATATTTTACCATATGGTGATATTTTATAGTGAGGTGCAGAGTGACCCACTGCAGTTTGTGTCTTGTAGCCACTGTCTTGTCTTTTGGCTTTTCCCAGTATTTTGGGGAACAAAGAATACTTGTTGGGACTCCTACAGTGAGCTTAGCAGTGTACGGAATGTCCTAAGTATGTGAATTCCCACTGCAAAGGCAGGGGGTAGAGCGTAATTGTTGAGTGGATCCTGAATGCCGTGGGTTCAGATTTCTGTGTCCTCTTTGCTGCATAACTATGACAGGTCAGTGAACACCTCTGTGTCATGGTAGTCTCATCTATAAGAACTGCAGTAAAAATAATAAAACCTTACTCATCGAGTTAGTATAATCCATGTGACAGGGCACAGTGACTGGCGTACATTAAGTATAGTACATGCTAGCTGTTAGTTATATGGAAGGTATTATTATTGCTATTATATTACAGGTGATAAAACTGAGGTTCAGACAAATAGGTAACTTAGTCCACAGACAACTCATGGGGGTTAGTGTCCAAAGAAAATGGATGGCAGAGATGGGATTTGATTTCTGATCCAACTCCAGAGCTGCTTTTTAAATTTTTTTCTTTCAGACTTTAAAGTTTTATTGTATTTATTTCTTTTTTTTTTTTTTTTTTTTTTTGACAGATCACAAGTAGGCAGAGAGGGACAGGAGGAGGAGGCAGGCTCCCTGCTGAGCAGAGAGCCCGATGTGGGACTCGATCCCAGGACCCTGAGATCATGACCTGAGCCGAAGGCAGAGGCTTTAACCACTGAGCCACCCAGGCGCCCTATTGTATTTATTTCTTGATTGACTTAATATTTGAAAGATTTATCTCTTTCTTTGGGGGAGAGAGAGCATGCATGCATATGGGCGTGCATGGAATGTGGGAAGGGGCAGAGGGAGAGGCAGAGACAATCCCAAGCAGACTTTGCACTGAGCAAAGTGGAGCCCAGTGTGGGTCTTGATCTCATGACCCCTAAGATCATGAAGCAAGTTAAAACCAAGAGTCGGATGCTTAGCCAACTGTGCCACCCTGGTGCCCCTGTTTTATTTATTTTTTAATTGAAGTATACTTAACATACAATGTTAGGTTAGTTTCAGGTGTACAACATAATTATTCAACAAGTCTGTAGATTATGCTCTGCTCACGAAGTGTGACTACCCATCTGTCACCACACAATAGTATTACGATACCATTAACCACATTTCCTGTGCTGTACCTTTTGTGCCTGTGACTTATTCATTCTGTAACTGGACGTGTCTCCTGCCCGCCGCGCAGACTTTGCCCGTCCCCCTCCCCTCTGGCCGCCATCTGTGCTCTGTATTTATGGGTCTCCTGCCTTTTGTTTATTTCTTTTGTTTGCTTTAAATATTTTATTTATTTGTTTTTTGACAGAGAAAGACAGTGAGAGAGGGAACCCAAGCAGGGGGAGTGGGCGAGGGAGAAGCAGGCTTCCTGCAGAGCAGGGAGCCCAATGTGGGGCTGGAGCCCAATGTGGGGCTCGATCCCAGGACCCTGGGATCGTGACCTGAGCCGAAGGCAGCTGCTTAATCAACTGAGCCACCCAGGCGCCCCTCTTTTTTTTTAAGATTCCATGTGTGATTCCTCATGGTATTTGTCTTTCTCTGTCTGACTTTTATTTTACTTAGTGTCATACCTTCTAGGTCCATCTGTATCATTGCAAGTGGCAGGATCTCCTTTTTTGTGGCAGAGTAATGTTTCATTATGTATACTTACCACATCACCTTGGTCCATTTATCTATTAATGAGCATTTGGGTTGCTTCCTTAGCTTGGCTGTGGTAAATAATGCTGCAGTAAACATAGGGGTGCATATGTCTTTTCAAGTTAGTGTTTTTATTTTCTTTGCATAAATAGTGGAATTACTGGGTCGTATGGTATTCCTATTTTTATTTTTTTTTGAGGAACCTCCATACTGTTTTCCACAGTGGCTGCACCAGTTTGCATTCCCACCAATAGTATGTGAAGGTTCCTTTTTCTCCCATCCTCACCAACACTTGTTATTTCTTGTCTTCTTGAGTTCATCCTTTCTGACAGATGTGAATGATACCTCCTTGTGGTTTCAATGTGCATTTCTCTGATGAGTTATGTTTACTACCTCATCATGTGTTTATTGGCCATCTGTATGTCTTTGAAAAAAATGTTCAGGTTTTCTGGCCATTTAAATTGGACTATGTGGATTTTTTTTTTCTTTTAGTTGTATAAGTTCTTTATGTATTTTGGATGTTAATTTGTTATTGGATTTATCATTGCAAATATCTATTCCCTTTTAGTAAATTGCCTCTTCATTTTGTTTATGGTTTCCTTTGCTGTGCAAAAGTTAGTTTGTTTTTTAATTAAGATTTTGTTTTTTTGAGACAGACAATGAGCAGGAGAGTGAGCACAAGCAGGGTGAGGGGCAGGAAAGGCAGACTCCCTGCTGAGCAGGGATTTCCCCATGTGGGGCTCGATCCTGGACTCCAGGATCTTGACCTGAGCCGAAAGCAGATGCTTAACCAACTGAGCCACTCAGGCATGCCTGTGCAAAAACTTTTTATTTTGGTGTAGTCCCAATAGTTAATTTTTGCTTTTGTTTACCTTGCTTCAGGAGATCTATCTAGAAAAGTATTCTTAAGGCCAATGTAAGAGAAATTACTGCCTATGTTTTCTTTTAGGAGTTTTATGGTTTCAGGTCTTACATTTATGTTTTTAATCCATCTTGAGTTTATTTTTGTGTTGGTGTAAGACACAGGTCCAGTTTCATTCTTTTGCAGGTAACTGTCCAGTTTTCCCAGCATCATTTGTTGAACAGACTTCTTCCCATTGCATATTCTTGCCTCCTTTGTTGAAGATTAATTGAGCATATATAAATGTAGGTTTATTTCTGGGCTCTATTCAATTCCATTGATCTAGGTGTCTGTTTTTGTGCCGGTACCATACTGTTTTGATTATTAAGCCTTTGTGGTATGTCTTGAAATTAGGAAGTGTGATGCCTCCAGCTTTGTTCTTTCTCAAGAGTGCTTTGGCTATTCGAGACTTTGATGATTCCATACAAATTTGAGTATTATTTGTTCTAGTTTCATGATCAATCCTGTTGGTATCTTGATAGGGATTGCATTGAATCTGTAGATTGTTTTTGGCAGTATGGACATTTTAGCAGTATTCTTCAAATCCATGATAATGGAATATCTTCCCATTTGTGTCATCTTCAGTATCTTAAATCAGTGTTTTATAGTTTTCAGAGTATAGGACTTTGACCTCATTGGTTAAGTTTATTCCTATTTTATTTTTGGTGCAATTGTAAATGGAATTGTTTCCTTAATTTCTCTTTCTGCTACTTCATTATTAGTGTATAGAAATGTAACAGATAACTGCATATTAATTTTTTATTTTACAACATTATTGAATTCATTTATTATTTTAATGGTTTTTTGTGGAGTCTTGGGCGTTTTGTTGTTGTTGTTGTTGTTGTTTTTAAAGATTTATTTATTTTACAGAGAGAGAGATCAGAAGTAGGCAGAGAGGCAGGCAGAGAGAGAGGGGAAAGCAGGCTCCCCACTGAGCAGAGAGCCCTATGTGGGTCTCGATCCCAGGACCCCGAGATCATGACCCGAGCCGAAGGCAGAGGCTCAACCCACTAAGTCACACAGGTGCCCCTTGGGGTTTTTTTTATGTATACTATTACATCACTGACAGATAGAGTTTTATTTCTTCCTTATCAATTTGGATACCTTTTATTTCTTGTTTGATTGTATGACTACAGCTTATGGTGGCTAGAGTGGGCATTCATGTCTTATTCCTGATCTTAGAGGAAAAGTTTTTAGTTTTTCACCATTGAGTATGATGTTAGCTGTGGGTTTTTCATATATGGCCTTTATTATGTTGAGGAATGTTTCCTCTAAACCCACTTTATCGAGCAGATGTTGAATTTTGTCGGTTGACTTTCCCGCACCTCTTGAATGATCATCCGATTTTTATCCTTCGCCTTGTTCACGTGGTGTATTACATTGGTTTTATGACTGTTCAAGCATCCTTGCGTCCTTGGAATAAATGCTGCTTGATTGTGGTGAATGCATTTTTGACTGTGGTTGGCTAATGTTTTATTGAGGATTTTTGCATCTATGTTCAGTGAGGATCTTGGCCTCTAGTTTGGGAGTGTCTTTGGTTTTGGAATCGAAGTAATGCTGGCCTTGTAGAATGTATTTGGAAGACTTCCTTCCTCTTCTATTTTTTTGAATAGTTTGGGGGAGAATAAGTATTAACTCTTCTTTAAGTGTTTGGTAGAATTCACCTGTAAATTCATCTAGACTTGTATTTGTTGGGAGTTTTTTGATTACCAATTCAGTTCCATTACTAGGAAATCAGTCTGTTCAGATTTTCTATTTATTCCTGATTCAATATTGGAAGATTGTGTATTTCCAGGAGTTCATCCATTTCTTCTGGGTTGTTCAGTTTGTTGGCATGTAGTTTTTCAAAGTAGTGTCTCATCTTTTGTGTTTCTGTTGTGTCAGTTTTTACTTCTCTTTCATTTGTGATTTTTAAAATTTGGGTCCTTTCTGTTTTTCTTGAGTCTGGCCAAAGTTTTATTAATTTTGTTTACCTTTTCAAAGAGATGCCTCTTGGTTTCATTGATCTTTCCTATTGTTTGAGCCTTTTTTTTTTTTTTCAGTCTTTTGCATTTATTTCTGCTCTGATCTTTTGTTTCATTCCTCTACTGACCTTGGGTTTTGTTCTTTTTTTAGTTCCTTTAAGTATAAGGTTAGATTGTTTACTTCAGATATTTCTTGTTTCTTGAGGTAGGCCTGTATCACTGTAAATTTTCCTTTAGAATTGCTTTTACTGTGTCTCAGATTTTGGACCATTGTGCTTTCATTTCTGTTTGTCTCTCTGTATTTTTTTATTTTCTTCTTGGATTTCTTTGTTGACCCATTGGTTGTTTAAGTTTTTTTAAGTTGTTTGTGTTTTCTTCCAGTTTTTTTCTTGTGGTTGATTTCTAGTTTCTTGCCTTGTGGTCGGAAAAGATGGATGATACAACTTCATCCTTCTCAAATATATTGAGACTTTGGGGTGCCTGGGTGGCTCAGATGGTTAAGCATCTGCCTTAAGCTCAGGTCATGACCCCAGGGTCCTGGGATCAAGCCCCACATCAGGCTCCCTGCTCAGAGGGGAGCCTGCTTCTCCCTCTCCTTCGACTGCTCCCACTGCTTGTGTTCTCTTGATGTATGTCATGCTGAAATCAAGAATTGGCTGCCCAATTGACTGAGACACCCAGGTGCCCCACTTGGAACTCATTTTAAAAGGACTTCTTCTTTACTCCCTCCTCCATGTTTTTTGTATACATTATCTTATTTTACATATTTTTCTTCATAACTTTCTTCTAATTGTGTCTTTTTCTTATCTGCCTCAAGAAGTTCTTTGACATTTTTTGTAAGTCTGGTTTAGTGGTGATGAGCTCCTTTGGGAAGCTCATTTTATCTCCTTCAAATCTGAATGATAATCTTGCTGGGTAGATTATTCTTGATGGTAAGATTTTTTCCATTTAGCACTTTATGTCATCAACATTCCCTTTTGGCCTGCAAAAGTTCTCCTAGAAATGAGCTGATAAAATTCTCTTTTAGTCTGACATTTCAATTATTATGTGTCATGGTATGGGCCTCCTTGGCTTCATCTTGTTTGGAACTCTCTGTGCTTCCTGAACTTGGATGTCTGTTTCCTTCTGGTCAGGGAAGTTTTCAGCTAATTTTTCTTCAAATAAGTTTTCTGACTCTTTCTTTCTCTCTTCTCCTTCTGGGACACACATAATGCTAATGTTTGTTAGCTTGATGTTGTTGAAAAGATCCATTACCATATCCTCATTTTAAAAAATGGTTTTCTTCTTGCCGTTCCAGTTGGCTGTGCTCCAGATTGCTGATCAATGCTTCCGCACCCACTAATCTGTTGATTCCCTCGAGTGTATTTTTCATTTCAGTTCTATTTTTCAAACTTGGTAGGTTTTTGTTTTCTGGCTCTATATTGAAGTTTTCACTGAGTTCTTCCACTTTCCTCTCGTTAGGACCATTTAAACTTTGCTTGGCATTTTACTTAACTGTGTCTCGTCTAGTTCTTTTTCTGAGGTTTCATCTTGTTCTTTCATTGGGAATTTATTCCTCAATCTTCTCGTTTTGCTTGACTTTCTGTGTTCATTTCTATGAATTAGGTGGAACAGCTGCTTCTAACCTTGAAGGGATGGTCTTGTGTATGACCATCCCTGTGTAGGCTGTGTGTGCCCAGTGGCTTTGGCTGGGTGGAGCGGTGTTGGGCATGGGCTTGGAGTCCCAGGGCACTCTCTATTGGGGCTGTCCTAGTGGGATGGCAGGAGCTAAAGTGGGCATGGACTGGGACGGTCCTGAGGCTCTCAGAGAATGCCCTGACAGGACAGCTGTAGGGGAAGTGGGTGCACACTGGGGTGTCCCTCGGCTCTTGGTGTAGAGGATATCCCAACATGGTAACTGAAGCTGAAGTGGGTGTAAAGCTAGTGTCCCAGGGTGCTCTGTGCAGGGGGTACCTCAGAGGGGCAGCTGGAACGGCGGTGGTGCATGGGCTGGGGAGGTCCCAAGGGGCTTTATGCAGGGGGCACCCTGGCAGGACAGCTGTAGCTGAAGTGGGTACAGGCCTGGGGATCCTGGGACTCTCCATGCAGAGGGTGCCCTCAGCCACTCTTTTAAAGCACCCCTAGGAGTGCCTGTGTGGCTCAGTCAGTTAAGCATCTGACTCTAGATTTCGGCTCAGGTCATGATCTCAGGGTCCTGGGATGGAGTCCTGTGTCAGGCTCCCCGTTCAGTGGGGGGTGTGCTTGAGGATTCTCTGTCCTTCGCCCCAACCCTGTGCACACGTGCATGCACTCTCGCTTTCAAATCAGTAAATCTAAAATACCTCTAATGGAGTGATCACTAATGAAGTATCCATTCTACAACCCTATTTCTAGGGTGAAATACTTGTGGATTTGGGCTTCAAAGCTTCTGTCGTTTTACTCTTCAACTCTTCAAAGGTTGTTCTTTTAGAGTAAATCTATTTAAAAATATATGTCAAATCAATTTGGTAGCATTCCTTTAAGTAGCTGTTTTGGTTCCTCACTTGAGAACAGTGACAGTACCTGCCTACCTCTCACCGTTGGCCGGAAACCCAGGAGAGGTCACTTTACCTTGCAGCAGGGACAAAGCCTAGAGCCGCGCAGTTAGCACTGTTCAGTGGTGCCTGACGTGGGCTTGTGCAGCCGCATACGTCTGAAGAAATAATAGCCCTGTGTTGGGTTATTTATGCAATATCCAAAAATAATCTGCTGCTTTCTGTGAAGACATGTTTTGTTACTTTTTAAAACTCAGTAAGCAAAGTTCTTGTACTGGTGATGAGACCAGGGCTGAAGTCTGCATTATGTGAAGGATTCTTGGTACAAATTACAATGTTAAAATGAAGGGGAATTGTAAAGTATTGGTCTTCTTGTTTCTTTTATTTTGAAGAGTCTCCAGTCAAAGTCGTGGCCCTGTGCGCTGGTTCTGGGAGCAAGGTGCTGCAGGGGACGGAGGCCGACCTTTACCTCGCAGGTAGGACAGCCTTTGGGTCGCCTTTTCTTTTCATGTGTGTATCCTTCCCCAACCTTGGTTTATGTTTTATGAGATAAAACATAGATTTTAGAACAGCACTTGGTAGATAAATGGATCTAATAACTATTGTTTGAACCTGAACTAAACAGGAACTACACTGAAATTGGAGACAGGCCATATTTTTTGTAGAGGGGAAAAAATCATTTAGCAATTTATTATTAGATTATATAAAAGACCGATTGATGTTGAGCATTTATTTAACCTGTCTTCTTTCCTACACGTGATTCATGTCAGTTAATAGGACACTTTCTACCCTCCCACCTTAGGCAGAAAATGGTTCTTACTCAGCCCTATAGCCAGTCATTAGCTCCTATCAGCTCTAGCTCCAGAATCTTCATAGAGCCTTTCCTTTTCTCTCTACTCAGGCATCATCACCTACTTGAAATACTTCATCAAGTCCCTAATCTTAGTCTTCCACATATGCCCCCCAAACGAACTGTTCTTCACAAGTATAAATTTATTGGGTATGATACTATCCTAGCTACAAAGCCTTTGGCGATTTCCTTTATGTGTCTCGGGCGAGCCTAAACGTTCGTTCTCTTCCATACGGCCTCTGCTTATGCGGTTTTCTCTGGCTAGAATGTCTTTCTGCCCCTTCCTTTACACGTCCAGTGATAAGCTCAGATACTTCCTCAGAGAAACGTTTCCTGTCACTGACTCCTGCCCTGATGGTCACGCCTTCCTCTCCTGTCCCTGTCGCTTTGTCCTTCAGCTCCAGGATGCATTTCTGTCAGACAGTCATTGTTTGGCACCCAGGCGTTACTCTCTGTCATAGGGGAAAGCATCTGACAGGTGACCTGGCCTCTCATTCAGAGGATTTGGAGGCACCTTGTACACTTCCTGATACCGGCTGCATTTCCACCTCTGTTCCTCCTTAGGGTTAAGAATTAACTTTTTCCGGGGCACCTGGCTGGCTCAGTCAGTAAGAGTACGTAACGTTTGGTCTCAGGGTTGTAAGTTCAAGACCCACGTTGGGTATAGAGATTACTTAAAATCTTTTTAAAAAATTACTTTTTTGACTTCTAGGACTGGAATCGAGGGTCTTAACCCCTGTGGCTACTTCCTAGGCCTTTGCATTATTACTCCTTTCCTGCCCACCATGTCCATGCCCCTTATTATCTGTCTAGCACACTCTCCTTCAGAGGCTGCTGGACTTAATACTGTCACATCTGGAAGTATCACGGAGCAGTATCTGAGCTTATTAAAAACGTACACAACCATTACCCGTTTTCTATTCTTCTAAAGACATAAAATTTTTATAAGTCCTCCAACTTGTACCAGATTGAAATAAACTTCCAGTGTATAAACAATTTGACAAAATAGCTTCTAGCATTATATGACTATTTAATTTTAATATTTATTTTAATTTTTTAAATATTTATTAGCATGAAAGCAAGCGGGGCACGGGTAGAGGAGAGAATCTTCAAGCAGACAGTCTGCTGAGCATAGAGACAACCTGGGGCCCCATCCCACAGCCCTGAGATCATGACCTGAGCTGAAACCAAGAGTTGGACGCTTAACTAACTGAGCATTTAACTGACTTTAAAACAGTCATGGGGGCACCTGGGTGGCTCATTTGGTTAAGTGTTTGACTCTTGGTTTTGGCTTAGGTCATAATCTCGGGGTCATGGGATTGGACCCTGCATCAGGCTCCCTGCTCTGCAGGGAGTCTGCGTGTCTCCCTCACCCTCTGCTCTTCCCCTTACTCTCTCTTTCTCTCTCTCTGTTAAATAAATAAGTAAATCTTTAAAAAATGATGTTAATTATAACATTTTACTTTGAAAGAATTTCAGACCTGTAGAAAGTTGCAAGGATAGTACAATAAACTTTCGTATGCCCTTCACTTAAGATTACTAATTGTTATAGGGGCATCTGGGTGGCTTAGTCAGTTAAACATCTGATTCTTGATCTCAGCTCAGGTCTTGATTTCACAGTCGTTCAAGCCCCATGCTGGGCTCCACACTGGGCAAGGAGCTACTTAAATGAATAATAAAGATCAGTAATGGTTATATTTTGCCACATCTGCATATTCTGTGTCATATACATGTTATATATGTCTGCATGTATGTATATGTGTGTGTATAAATATCTGTGGGTGTGTGTACAAATATATTTCTACTTACATGTTTCCCCCAAAACCATTTTAAAATAAATTGTATAATGACCTTTTGTCTTCTCCCTAAATACCTCATCATATGTGTCCTAAGAATGAAGATATGACCATGGACAGTGATCAAATATAGGAATTTAATATTGTTAAAACATTTATTTAATATGTCATCTATCTGGAATGCTTCTTTGTCCAGAGCACTGGCATTTTTAAGGGTACAGACCATTTGTTGTGGCATATCTCAATTTGGCACCTGTGGTTGTTTTCTTATAAATAATGACTTTTTTTTTTTTTTAAGATTTTATTTATTTGAGAGTATGAAAGGAGGGAGGGTCAGGAGGAGCAGACTCCCTGCCAAGCAGAAGCCTGTCATTGGACTCGATCCCAGGACTCTAGGATCATGACCTGAGCCAAAGGCAGTTGCTTTACCAACTGAGCCACCCAGGTGCCCAAATAATGACCTTCTTAAAACTAGGTGTTTTCTTTTTTTTTTTTTTTAAATTATTAAGCAGTATGTGCATAAGGTAAATTAATGCAATTCAAATTTGTTAAAATAGTCTTCCTATCTGGTTATTTGGGGAAATAGAAAGTGTCTTCTTATCTGGCTGACCTTGGACGTCTGTGATCTGTGAGGTACCACTTTGAGTATAACTTTAGGGATAAAAAGTACCAGCTCAGAGACCACACACACAGGCCTCCGCTGATGTTCGTCACTCCGCCTTTGAGCAGAGCATGGTAGTATCAGGTCGTTAGGGTGATATTGTGGGAAGACCAGCAGATTGGGAACTTGCTCCTTGCAGGTATAAATCCTCTCATTTGCTCTTTCTTTCCCCAGTGACCCTCCGAGCTAGGCTTCTCACCACCTTGCCTTCAGCTGTTACTGTGGAGTCTTCGCAGAGTCTCCGCTTTCATGCCTTCTTAGAGCCTTTGTAAAATAGTCCAGGCCACCAGACTTGTCTCTCCTGAAGCACAGCTTCTAGGTGGGCCCATTAGGGTCTTCTTTCTATTACAGATTTAAATACTTTACTATTACAGATGAAGATGTTTTAGGCGCCCCTGGGTGGCTCAGTAGGTTAAGCGTCTGACACTTGGTTTCAGCTCAGGTGGTGATCTCAGCGTCGCGTGGCAGGCACCGCACTCAGCTGGCAGTCTGCTTGAGATTTTCTCTTTCCCTCTGCCCCTCTGCTCTTGCATCCTCTCTCTAAAATAAATAGTAAAATCTTAAAAAAAAGAATAAAAATTATTCTATATATGAAGTTTCAAATGTATTGAGGAGCAGGGTGAAGTGTGGGGGGTTGGAAATTTCTCAGGGGAAAAAAAATGTTATTTTTCCCCTTAAGAACCTTCTCTCAATTTTTTTATGCTTTTAGGGTTCTAAACATATTTCAGAATTATGCTTATTATGAATAAGCCAAATTGTGCAGTGTCTTTTTGCTGTTAAATTTGAAGTCATCAGGGCGCCTGGGTGGCTCAGTGGGTCAGATGTCTGCCTTTGGCTCAGGTCATGATCATAGGGTTCTGGAATTGAGCCCCACATTGGGCTCCCTGCTCAGTGGAGAGTCTGCTTCTCCCTCTCTTCCCCACTCATGGTCTCTGTCACTATTTCTGTCTCTCTGCCTCTCATTTAAATAAATAAAATCTTTAAAAAAATTTTTTTTGAAGTCATCAGATTCACAAATGGGTTTTTTAAAAATTCAGAACACTTGAGTTTTCCCAAAATCTGTTTACAAAAGATGAGATCCTCTTCTACCGGTAACTTCAGAATTTCTAGAAATTTTGCCTAGGTCAAAGGAAAATAAATGCCCTGTTTTTATTTATTTATTTATTTTTACCTTGTCTTTAATTTAGAAATAGCCTTAAAACTCATTTCATCTTTATGAATTAGACTGGAGTTGATATTGAAAAATTTGGTGTTCACAAAGCATAAAGGAGTCTTTGGGAAGTATACCTAGGATTTTCTGGAGGTATTTGTTATTTAATATTTATATGAGAGAGTTTTCTGAAAGCCCCATTTCACTTAACAGTGGTCATTTATTTTATAATGGAAATGTTTGTATTTTTTTTTTTTTTTTTGAAGTAGGCTTCAGTCCCAGCATCTTCATCTTCAGAGCCCAATGTGGGGCTCAAATTCATAACCCTGAGCTGAGCAGAGATGGAGAGTCAGAGAAGCTTAACCAGTGAGCGCCCCCCCCCCCCCCCCCCCCCGCCCAGGGGCCCCAAATGGAAGCATTTTGAATGGACGTTCTTATGGGTCTGGCAGTAGGAGATACTGTTGCATATGCGGCTTTTAGATTCTTGTTTTCAACGGGCCACAGAGAAAGAATTTGGAATTCTCTGTGGGATGGCCTGTCTCTCTCTAAATTAGAGGACATGAAAGAAAACCTGTACCTAACTTTCTAGATTTGTGTGTAAAGTTCTGCTTTTTACACAGCGCGAACTTGGTGTTTCTGCAGTGGTGGTTCGGCACCCGGCAGACTGCTCGTCTGGTATTTACGTATTTGCCCTTTCCTCTGGTGGCAGGTGAGATGTCCCACCATGATGTTCTGGATGCCGCGTCCCAGGGGATAACTGTCATCCTCTGTGAACACAGCAACACCGAACGAGGCTTTCTTTCTGATCTTCGAGATACGCTGCGTGCTCACTTGGAAAACAAGATTAATATTATCCTGTCAGAGGCAGACAGAGACCCTCTTTGTGTGGTATAGAGCATACTGGAGTAGCGGTTGGACAGCCCGAGCCTGAATGCATAACGTGAATCAGTGCACCTCGAATCGTCCTGGAAGAACGTCTTAGAATGTACATTTATTTCTGGTTTGTAAATCTGCTTCCTCAAATGTTCTGTAGCTCATATGGTAAAAATCATAACAATGACCATTCATTATAAGAGGAAATAAGATGATGATACAATGTAAATCGTATTTCATTATAAACTCCTGGAAAGATCCACTGAAATCTGTTTACTTAACATTCTGGGGAAGTTGCTCAAGCAGTCTTCTCCTTAGCTTGTGTTCTTCTAGATATTTCTGCCCTTGGTTAGTTTAGAAATATACTTTAAGAAACTTGAGATTGGAACACTTATTTCTAGATAGTGGCCTCTAGGGGGTGATAAGGTCTTGTCTCTATGTTCCCATTTGTAGATCACTAGTCTTTGACTTTCTGATTCCAGAATCAGGATGAGGTTTTGTTTTTTTGTTCTTTAATATACATGATCATTATTCATGATGATTTTATTGCTTTTTAGGTAACTTACCTGAAATTTTACTAGTAATACAGAAAGATAGCTTTTAAAATAATCCCAGTTATCATGCAATATTAATTTCATGCTAGGCATTCTCGGGTATGTTATAAACACTTTCAATCTGTAGAAACAAGAATGTGGGTATTATGATTTCCATTTTACAGATGATTAAACTGAAACAGGTTATGGAGTTTGCCTGAGACCACGTGGCTAGGAAATGATGGGAGTTTGAACATAGACTCAGGTAGTGTGGCTCCAGAGTCTGTGTTCTTAACTGCTTCTTAATGAACAGTGATGATAAACCTGATAGAGGAGATATTTAGGCAATCCAGGAGAAATCCATTTTAACTGGGATTTTCTCCAGGAGGTATGGGAGGTTTTTCTTTTGAATTCTTTCAGATTTCCAGTTGCTCTGGGGAGTTTTTTCCTTTGGTAATGACAAAAGCTAGTCTTTTAAAATACTTTATAAGGGGCGCCTGGGTGGCTCAGGGGATTAAAGCCTCTGCCTTTGGCTCAGGTCATGATCCCAGGGTCCTGGGATCGAGTCCTGCATCGGGCTCTCTGCTCAGCGGGGAGCCTGCTTCCTCCTCTCTTTCTCTGCCTGCCTCTCAGACTACTTGTGATCTGTCAAATAAATAAATTTAAAAAATAAAATAAAATACTGTCTAAGATGAGAAAGGAAAGAATTTTACATTTATTCTGTAGGACCCTTTTCCTACCAGTCATCTCCTGGAGGATTTGGGATCCAAACTTACAAATTATTCGTGGTGGTTCACCTGTAACATTGATTCACCACAGAAAAAACCAATAGGACTGAGTCTTTAGAAAATAGGACTGAGCCTTTAGAAACGCCCCCCAATTCAAGGGTCGGAGGAGGAGCCAGGAGAGGAGGTGGGAGGAGAATCAGCAAAGCATCAGAAGCCAAGTAGAAAGCTTTGATGAGGGATGGCCGACCTCAAAAGACGAGCCATTGGAGAGCAGACAGCTTCGAGACTCTTGACAGCATTTTCCTCAGTCATTGCTTGTGTTCTTTGTGCTGGGCCAATGAAGAGGCAGGAGTAGGACAAAAGTTTGGATGATACGGAAGAGTTTATTGTAATTACCTATGCTAAAGATACGCAGAGGGCTTATAGGGAAGGTTTCCTGGGGATGTGGGGAGGGTAGAATTCAGTCAAGAGATAGAGCTTATACAAACACTAGTGTAGAGAAACAGCACAATGCATTGAAAGAGCCCAAGTAAGTCATCCATTGTTAGGACAGAGAGCAGAGGCAGAAATGATGTGGTCAGAGATGCTGCTTAATAGCTTCGGGGCAGTGATTCTTAAACCTTTTTTTTCCTTTATGGCACACTGAAGGTAAGGCATGATTTCACCTTTAACTAAAATTATTAGTCCTGAAGGTTGTGGATTAAAAATTTATGATTGGACATGCTTATTGCCAAATTTTTTTTTTTTCTTAAAGAATGCCATTGTTACCGCAATTGTTAAAGTTTATTTACTGGCTTGCTAACATTTCCGAATAACTAAAAATACCCCCAAATATGTCCTTTGGAGTTTTTTAAAATTAAAGTATCACCAAAGATGAATTATTTTCACTTGTCAAATTTTCTGAACTGTTAACTTTAAGGTGTTGATGGTTTAGTTATATATCTCATTGCTTTTCAAACTTTAATGTGCAGAAGAATGTATGGAGATTTTTTTTTTTTTAAAATTTTACTTATTTATTTGACAGGGAGAGAGCAGGAGAAGGAGAGGGAGATTTGACAGGGAGAGAGCAGGAGAAGGAGAGGGAGAAGCAGGCTCCCCATTGAGCAAGGAGGTGGACGCAGGACTCAATCCCAGGACTACTGAGATCATGACCTGAGCTGAAGGCAGATGCTTAACCGACTGAGCCACCCAGGCGCCCAGAGACGTGGTTTACAAAATGCAGACTGATTCAGAAGCTTGAGTGGGGCCCAAGCACTTCTGTGTTCCCAAGAGAATGCTGCTGCCATCAAGGACCACACGTTAGGTAGCAGAAGTAAAGATCGTGACCTAAACACGTGGGCAGGCTCAAGGCCAGAGAGTGCTGCTCTCTACCAAGATTGTTAGGAGTGTGATAATTAGCTTTCTATTTAAACTCATATTTAAAGTCACATTTTCCTTAGCATCGGTTATTTCAAACTTATTTCCAGCGTATTAAGACTACTGTAACTTTTTAATGCTATTAACAGCCCATATTTCTTCCTTCACATTCCTTACAACTCCTCTATCTGGCACAGAGCCTTCTACATAGGAAGGGTTCAACAAACATGAATGAGAATGTTTTAACAGCAATTTGAAATCTCAAAAGGTAGGACTCTCCTAAGGGGGTAGTCAGGTAATTACAGAAAGCCCAAGAACAAAGTCATTTGCATAATACTTCTTTTTATTCCTCAGTTTTAGGAGCCACACAGTCTGTGGTAAGACAGACCCTCCCGATTTGTCATCTCTGATGATTACTCGGTACTAAGCTGGAAGTCTTCTCACCATCCAGAATGTAGGAAAAAAAAACATTTTGAACAATACTACTGGCTCCACAATGAATTAAAGGGGAAAAATCTTCTAAAGTGGTTTTTTTTTTTTTAGATAAGCATTCTCTATTAACCATCCCCTAAACTCACCGATCTTTTATATGAATGAAATGTTCATGTATTAAACTGACGAACATGCTAGGAAAATCCATTTCTTAGAGTACCACAAGAGCTGATTTAGAACTCTCTGCATCAGGAATACAATGTTATGTCAACTTCGGTAGAGTGTAAGGATGCTTATTCTGCCTCTCCTGTGCCTTTTTTTGGGCCTGTTTATTTGGCCATTTTATTAAGAGCAGCCAGAAAAATCCTTCAGGATTTTCAGGTTTGTTCACTCTTGTCAGAAGCAAGGAATAGAAGTTGGGAGTCTTAGTAGTCAGGCTTTAACTGGTAAGAGTACGAGGAGCACGGATACTGAAACAAATGGAGAGTGTAGAATAATTCTGCTCAGATCTTCAGATCTGTAAGATGCACTTATAAAATTTTTGAAGGACTTAAAAATACTTTTAGTACGAGGTGCCTGGGTGCCTCAGTGGGTTAAAGCCTCTGCCTTCGGCTCAGGTCATGGTCCCAGGGTCCTGGGATTGAGCCCCACATCAGGCTCTCTGCTCAGCCGGGAGCCTGCTTCCTCCTCTCTCTCTTTCTGCCTCTCTGCCTACTTGTGATCTGTCAAATAAATAAAATCTTTAAAAATATATATTTGTAGTAAAAAACCAGTACTATGAAAAAATGATTCTATCCAAATTGGCTTTTTATTTATTGATAGATTGTTGATACATACTGTTTGCAGATAGTATGGACACAAAAATTATAAAAATAAACCAGTAGATATTTAAGGGCAAATGCAAAATTTGCATATTAGGTAAAGATTTTATATACTTTTTTATACTATAAGTTATAAACTAGATATATTAAGCAAAAAAAGCAAGGTGCAAACAAGCACATATCATATGCTACCATTTGTGTTTTTAAAAGGAGATACACATACCTTCCGTGTGCATAGAATACCTCTGCAGGAGGGAACTCCTATCGCCGGTTGCATAAGGGACTGGATCGGTGAAGGGGAAGGAAACTCACTTTTTAGTGAATATCCTTTGGTAACAATTTTTAGAATCAAATTCATGTACTAGTTTAAATATTTTGATTATATGTGACTGAACCCTCACACATGGATTTAAATCATATGCCACAAAGAGAAAGGACTTAAATTCTGAGCATTTTGGAAAGTTTCATGAAAGGGGTTTACAAGACAAAGTAGCTACTGCCTCAGCAGTTCTCACTTGTTCATGACAGTGGTATTTTAATGGAAGGATTTCACTTCCAAGTATGAAATGTTTTTAGACAGTATGTGAAGACTATAAGCTGACCAGTGGCCAAAGTTAGCCTTTTTCTCTTTCCTAATGAAAAAGGCTTGTGTAAATATTTAGAGGGCTTGAAATTGTTAAAGAAAAAAACAGAAATGTCTTACAGTGAGTTCTGGGTCTACTTGATAGAGAAATCAAGATTAAAATCTGCCATTAATATGCTACTCACTTGTAAGTTATTGAAGAAAAATGTCAATACAAGAATAATTGAATTTTTATTTTCTGTTGTCTTAAAAACAATGACTAAACTGTAGTTCAGGACTGTGTTTCTTCTCTAGCCTGGCTTCCTTCTTGTGTCAGGGTGATGACACAGATGTTGGCCATTCCAAGGATCATGATTGTTGTTCATGTGCTTTCTAAGGTGGGTATACGCCCTGTAGGCTCATTATGCTTTTCCCACTAACCCAGCTGAAGAGGGTCATGTCCTCCTGCTCCACCCCACCAGCATGGAGTCTAAATCCAAAAGAGAAAGCTAGATCACCCACTCTTCCCCAGTGTTACACACCTTTCGTTAGGCCTTTCGAGAAGAGTAAGCTGATCTGCCTTCTTTACACTCATCAGCTCTGACAGAGGAGCAAGTAGATTTATGTGATGTCAGTGTTTTTGTACCTCCATGCTCTGGAACAAACTCATCTGCAAACAGTCCGCTCTGGGAGCGTTTAAAAGGCCCTCAAAAAATTGGGAATAATATCATCTCTAGTATAAAAGAATCCGAAAACATCCAGCTCCAAATAGTCCCTGAGCACACAGTTCATTCCAGCACGAAGTCTCCAGAGAGGTAATGAATGAAAGGCACGTTTTCTCCGACTTGAGGACCGCTGCATAGTACGAGGTGGTGTACCAGCCAGGCTAAATCAAGGTTCTCAGTGACGACATTCCTCCCCTCCCAACTTGAAGTCTTGTACACTGGAAGGATCTAATGTTAGATGTAAACACAATACTTCAGACCAGAGGAGTGGCAGCTGGGGTACAACCCTTCCTTCCACAGAAGATTCAAGAGTAAAGGACAACTTCAAGACTCCTCTTCTTCCTTTTCCAGGAACTCACTCAGCGTTCCACTGTCCACAGGAATTAGTAGGTACTCTACCCCGTCGGTTCCCTGAAAGTGAGAAGACCCTGGATGTTAGTCATTTGTAAAGAGATAGAAGGTGAACCCTGTTGTAAGTTAAACAAAAAAGATGGATTTAATATCTTATATAAATACAGAAATGTAAAGATTAAGGCAAAAGGGTATATAGACTTATCTATCTAAATACACTGAGTTTATAGTTAAACCACTTCCCAGTGGAAAAGATTAGAGGGTCAGTAGATCTCTTTACACTCCTGCTCTGCTCTTGATTTCTCTGTCGTTTTATTCAGGTATCTCCACACCCCCCCCCCCTTTTAAAAAATCCCAGGGGCACGTGGGTGGCTTAGTCAGCTAAGCATCTGCCTTCTGCTCGGGTTATAATCCCAGGGTCCTGGACGCCCCACTCTGGGAAGTCTGCTTCCCTCTGCCTCTGTCCTTACCCTGCTCATACTCTCTCTCAACTAAAGTAATCTCCACACTGAATGTGGGCTGGAACTCATGACCCTGAGCTCAAGAGTCAAATGCTGTACGGACTGAGTCAGCCAGGTCCTGCCCTTCTTAAATAACCCTCGCTAGACTCTCATTTCTATCACCCAACCTCTGTACCTTTCCAGAAGAATTGTCAGTAATTGCTGGTCTCCATTTCTTCACCTTTCACCCAACCCAGTCCAACCTAGCTACTACCACCATTATCATGTCATTAGAAGAGCTTCTGTTTGGACCGCCAGAAATTCCTTACTCCTAAATCCAATACATATTTTCATCTTTTTGGCCTCTTAGCAGAACCTGTACTGCTGACTGTTCTTTCTTAAAACATGCTTCTCTTAGCTTCTATGACCTCATATTCTGGTTTTCTTCCTGGCTGTCTGGCTATTTCTCCTGCCTCTACACGTTTATCTTCTACTTGGCCATTACATGTCACACTTCTAGGCTTAGTTCCTGCCTTCAAATCTCACTGCCACCAATGCCTGCTTTTCATTATAACCTAAATACACAGGGACTGATCTATCTCTAGCCCAGATCTTTCCCCTGGTTTCTTGTCCTAGGAAAACCCAATTGCCTAGCTGACGTCTCCATTTGGAAGTCTCAAAGAGTTAAGTCCAAATATACTACAGTTAGGAACTCATGATCTGTCTCCCCCAAAATGTGTCTCACCTAATCTCACCAACTCTCTAGTTCTTCAAGCCAGACAGCAGAAATCATTCTTGACACTTTTCCTTCGTGCTCATATCCATCCATCAGTTCTTGTCAGTTCTGCCTCCCAGGTGTATCTGAACCCAACCACTTTTACTCTTCATCATCAGCTCTACCTACTAACACACCTTCCTAGCCGGTCTCTGTGCACTGACATTTAGCAATCCCTACCCCACTCTGCCCCATTCCATTCTCCATACCAGAGCCAGAACAATTTTTTTAAGGACTTCCCTTAATTTTCAAATGAAGATTAAAATCCTTTCCTTGGCCTAAAAGTAGTGCATGGGCTAGCCCTTACATCTCTTGTCTTTTCAGCCTTGTCTGGGGGACACTGGCCTTTATGGTTTTCTCTGACCAGTTATCTCCTAGTGTCTTTCTAGATCTCAGATCAGGGGTCTGATAACCAGAATTAACATAACATGTGAACCCGACTTCTTTCAGAACCAGGTTACTTTTCTGATCATAGGACACCACAGTTAAAGCTTTAGATGTGTGTGACTATTTGACAAATATCTGTCTCCTCCATTAGACTCTAAGCTCTATCAGAAAGGAGTCAGGTTTTTGCTTACTACTGTATGTTAATACTTAGTGCTCCATAAAGACCCAGTTAATGAATGTGGTAGAAGGAAGAGAGGGAAAAGGGAATAATTTCTAAGGGCCTATTACTCTGGACTAGAACCTTTTAAAAGGCTGAGTACTTTCAACTTTATCTCTTTCTGCAGAACTCAAATGGCACACTGCCTAAATGGATCCTTGTGACCCATCACGGAAGCTGCATTTTATTATCAAAGCTGAGTCAAAGGCATACTTGTCCTTAAGGTGTTCCTAACATATATAATGCTGTCATAGAAAACTCTCACCTTCTTTGTCCTTAAAAGCTTGTGGTCCCTAAATTCAGTTAACTGGGCCCGAAGTGTCAGATCACTATTGACCAAGAATGCCTCCCGACACTGTTGGTAAAAATCTTGAAAAGAAAATCCTAGAGAGTTCAAAAGGAGATGTGAACATAAGTCAGCACTGAAGACATGACCCCACATATCAAGGAACACAAAAAAAGTGCTGTTGCCATAATATGTCAAAGCGGTCTGTTAAGCATTGCTTTAAAAACAAAACAATAATAAAAAAACAAACTTCTGGAAGAAGCAAAACTAGAGAACACTTAAGTATTAAACATTGTGGCTTACATTTTAAAGAGAACTGATTGGCTGAAAATACTCATCTGTGACCAAGTAAAACATAAATCTTGTGGGAGCTTTAAACAGCATGAATAAAGTGGACTTTGAAAGACGGAACTACTAGTAAGTCAAGAGAGCTGTACGATTATTAAAATATTTGTCTAAATGAACACATAATTTTCATCTAAGGGGAAGAAAATCTGCTAAGATGCCCAGCATATGAAATATAAATAATTGGTAGACACATGTCCACAGTTACCATAGGAACTTGGGAAATTTTACACAGGAACAGTAAAAATGGGCCAGGCAGGTCTTTCAAAGTGCCCTGGCCAGCAGCCTACTCAGCAGTGTCTCTGTGGGGTTCTTGAAAGTGTGCCACGTGGCAGACAAACTGATCCCAGAGCAAACCATTAATTGGCTCCTGTGAAACACTGCAGTGCTATTATTAGATTCCAGAAAAAGGAATTTATGGGGTGAAACAAAAGTCACACACAATTTAATATCATAAATATTAGATACCAATGTAAGAAGGGTTATCCTGGTTATCCAGCTGATACTTTATCAGTAGCCTGAAAATCCCCCTAAGGGAAAAAAAAGCAAAAAACAAAAAACAATTCAAATCCAGAATGTTAACATCAAAAGAGAACAGTAAAACAGACAAAGATAATGTGAACTACTTGGTTTACTTTTTGTATTTTCTTCTGTTCCCTTCTCCAGGGAACATCCTTTCCTGGCCTACTTAAAAAGGAGAATCTTTTAAAAATTTCCTTTTAAGGAAAATCTCAGAATTTTTTTAAGGCTACAGGTTGTTCAAGTTAGAAAATGTGGAATATATAATAAAATGTACAGAGAAAAATACTAATGCCATAACCCTAAAATAACAGCCACTAACATTTGATGTAGAAATCATATTTGTGTGCTGTCTTTTCAAATCTTCATGGAATGAAGTAGGGTGGAAACACATTAATTCATGCATTTATGTATAGTATACACCATTTTATATCTCACCCTTCTACTTACTCATTTTTCCATCATTAAAAAGTCTTCCTAAATTTTTCATATCAATTTCTACGGAAGTGTACAAAGCGGAATTACAGGGCTGAAAGCATGCTACACTAAGATTTCCAGGAGTCCTTTGGTGTGGCAGAAACTTTAAACCTTTATATTTACATTTTTAAGATAATCTAGACAATAATTACTATCAGCATATTTGGATCATATGAATGGCCACATCATAACTAGATACTGCCAGTGACTCCACAGCTAAACATTGGTTAAAGTTTTTGATCACATTCATACCAAGGAAAGACTACATGATATTGGAGTTTGCATAATGAAACAAAATTTCATAGGTTAAAAAAAAAACAAGCAGTGGAGTCTAGTACGCAGACATTTAGGGTACGCCAAACTACAAACTACTCGCATTAGAGCAGTCCGAGTCATCTCTAATGTCGAGTACTCACGCTGCACGGATTCCCAACTTCCCAAATAGCAGCTTGCATAGTCCGTTAACAGTAAGCACAGTTAAGACTGAATGAGACTTTTTCTGTTGCAATTCCATAGAAATTTTGATTACTCATTTAATGCACATTTCAACATTAATGCAATGCTAATCTTCAGGTATACAAAGCAGCTTTATAGAGTAAAAAAACTGATCATTAAAGTGTGAAAAGGGGGCGCCTGGGTGGCTCAGTGGGTGAAAGCCTCTGCCTTCGGCCCAGGTCATGATTCCGGGGTCCTGGGATTGAGCCCCGCATCGGGCTCTCTGCTCAGCGGGGAACCTGCTTCCCCCTTTCTCTCTGCCTGCCTCTCTGCCTACTTGTGATCTCTGTCTGTCAAATAAATAAATAAAAATTGTTTTAAAAATGTGAAAAGTATTATACCATTTGACTAGAAGTGCCATTGCTCTTGGGAAAAAAGATTTCGCTAGTCTCACCTGCTTCTTTAAGAAACTTAAAACAATAAAAATCATCGCTGTTTGGATTAATTTATAGGTCTAATACATTCTAATTTGGGAGGAGTTAGTTATACTACCTTTATAATATTCAGTCCACTCATCCAAGAACACAGTATTTTTCTTCATCTTTTCAAATTTTAGTAATTCTCAACAAGGTTTGTTTTTAAACAATTCATCTTGTTAACTGTTCTAGAATTCTGTGCTGGGGGGGGAGAATCTACCCTCAAAGCCTTTTTCAACAGGTTAATTATCATGCCCTTTATGTTTTGCCAGTTTATGCTATATCCAGCTTTTCTTAGCTTTTATTAATTCAGATACTCCTCTAGGCGAGGCTGCTGAAAGGGCTTCACTGGAGACATTACAGAGATGTTTAAAACCAAGAGTCTGCAAGTCAGGTAGATTCGGATCAAAATCTCTGTGCCCTTTGCTATCTACCGTACAGTGGTGGTGAGGATCAAAGGAGTTATTTTATGTCAGTGGCCCTATGTCTGTATCACAGTGTTCAATATATAATTAAAAATAACCATCAGATTGAAGTAAAACCCATCAAAATTCTTTTTCCTCCACAATGACCATTATCTTGAGATGCTCTTATTTAGAAATATAAAAATTAAGAAAAAAAAATGTTGACATTACCGTTAAGGAGTCTGCCTATTGCATAACCCAGTACTGGCAACTCTATTTTTTACTCTCTTAATCCTGCAAACTAAGTAGAGACTTTAGAATTTTAGAATTGCCATTAAAACCTACTCATGAATATCATATAATGTACATTTTTTTAGAAAAAGACATTAGAGTTTTCATTCTTACCTTGCATTAGGGGTAAGGCTTCGTAAGACATGAATTAGGGAACTAAGTGGTAATGATCCAGATTGTTTAACCAGAAGCGAATTCTCATAGGAGGTTTCTTCAGTATAAGGACTATATGTAGTAGTTTCATACCAGAGCCAGTTATAAAGACTCTGCTTTGCATGATCCCACACTACAGCATGTGATTAAAGGAAACAGAAGTTACGAATTAGTGTTATCATGTTACTAGAGTCCACTCTAGGAAAGAAAGTATTAAATAAAAAATGAACCCTGGGGGCGCGGGCGCGGCTCAGTGGGTTAAGCCTCTGCCTTTGGCTCGGGTCAGGATCTCGTGGTCCCTCGATCGAGTCCTACATTGAGTCCCCTGCCAAGCAGAGAGCCTGCTTCCTCCTCTCTCTCTCTCTGCCTGCCTCTTTGCCTACTTGTGATCTCTGTCAAACAAAATCTTTAAAAAATAAAATCTTAAAAAAAAAAATCCCGAAAATTTTTCATTTTTGCCATTTCCCCATCCGTATCAGTACCTCACAACTTAATTTCATTGTCAACCAACATGTGGATTTTTATTTGTCTATTAACTACAATTTAAAATATATTAGTGTTACCAGGGCACAGGGATTTTCACAAAGTCTCAGAATTAAATGCATAAAATAAATGTTGCAATACCACAAAGAGTAGAAAGAGACCAAAATAATAGTTGGGCTGCTTCTCTTCGTGAAACTTCAGGTGTAAAACACCCCCTTTAGAATCTGAATTTTTTCCCCAAGAATTATGTTCTGAATCAGACTGAGAACACTTTTACTTTTAGCAATCTGTGACCTTATGTATGCAACAAAAGAAAAAGTGTACTGAAAAACAATAAAAATGTTATGATTTACAACATTAAGAAATTTCTTAAGACTGATATCCTGAGAAAGAAAAATGGTAATACTTACTGAGAGGGGCATTGAGGTGATCGATAGATGCTATAAGGTATATGTTACGTAAGGAGGACAACTGTCCAATAATTTGCTGGCTTTTGTCTCCTCTCAACATTTGGCTATCCAAATTGTGGATGAGAAGGAAGAGTTCCAAAGAAGAATCTAAAAGGAAAGACTATTCAATTATTATTTATAAGGAGTATTTGTAAAGTCCTTAACTACACACAATGCCTGTGTATTAAAAGATGTGTCACAGTAGTACGGGACAAAGTAACTATTGCATAGAGGTATGTACTTTATTTGAGAAGACAGTTTCTCAAAAGAGGCAACAGGTTACTGAAGTCTTAAGGAAATTCACTGAAAATCAGTCGGGAATGAACGTTAAGTGGAATGGTTAGCACCTGAATCAGGTCATCAGGCAGTTTCAGTAAGGCACAGGAAATAAGGCTCCATGCATTTTGGGTTGGAGGTAAATCTGTACACGTTGCATTGCAGGGCGGGAGGGGAGAGGGGACACGCACACACCAAAAGTTCTCTCTATGCATTAAGAGACAGAAAACCCTGATTATCACAAAAGCCAAAGAAGACAAAAAAGGGGGGGTGTGGAATTTAGGATATTGCTCAAGGCATCAGGAAAGTCAGAGAGGTAAAAAAAATGTCTTAAAGGTCAATGAAGGCAGCATTTGGAGGTACTTGCAGAGACCAAGATAGAAGAAGGATGAGCCAAGGCCACCTGTGTTTAGTAAGAAAATTACAGGTGATCTTCAAGCATATAGTTCAGGTAGCACAGAAGTAAGAAGTTAAGAAAAATGTAGAAGCGGGATATGTCTTCAAAAAATCTGAGATCATTGAACTAGGAAAAATCAAATAGTGTGGAAGGGCAGCAGAATCAGGTAAACCTTTTCTTATGCTGGAAGAAGCCCTATACGTGTTCAAAAGCCACTGACAAGTCTCTCCAAGGCTGTTAAGAAATAGGACATAATGGAGGATGAGCCTTTTCGAGAGAGTAAGTAAATTTTTCTCTCACTGTGGCTAGAGGGACAAGAGAGACAATATAGGAACAAAGACTCTGACAACATTTTGAAAGTCAAGATGCCACCATAATCAATAGTACCTAAGTTATATATAAACATATTTCTATTTTAGAATTGAATTATACTTAATGTTGATATATTTACATTTATATCATATGCATACTACATAATTCTGAATTATGTAATTATATATTCAAATTATATACCCATATGTAAAAACTTTTATATAACTTATATAATTACAATTTATATAATTACAAGTATGTTTTATAGAAACAATATATAAAATAGGCATTATATATGAATAGGCACCTATTTTCATGAACATATAAACAATATCAAAATTCTCTGTCAGATCAATTATTACTTTTTTTTTCCCTTTTTTAAGTAGATTCCATGCCCAGCATGAAGCCTAATGTAGGGCTTGAAATCATCACCCTGAGATTGAGACCTGAGCTGATACCAAGAGTAAGACACTTAACTGAGCCACCCAGGCACCCCACTCCTTTTAATTCATTAGTGGCTAAGTGGCAACTGTTGGACCCTAAATAATTTTATTTTTCATGTTCTGATATGCTCACATAGCCAAAACATTCACACCAAATGAAAAACAATAATGTTTCTTTCCATTCCACAGATTTTAGTGTATGAAACTGTTCAAATGCAATGATATTTACTCCAAATAAAGAGATAAAAATATTTCATAAAAATAGTAAACAATATAAAAATACCAAGGATGCATCTATCACCTGGGGGCATTTCACACGGACCAAGTAAAACCTGAGAACTATTCTGAAATAACAGGCTTTGGGTTATACAAATTCAGGGTAGTATGAGCAATTCTTTCCTGTTAGGTATTAGTGAAGTTCACAGAAAAACTTCACAGAAAGGACAAATTATTTCAGAGAAACCTAATCAGCATTGAGAGTAGTAGTATTATTGAAATAACCCACATTTTTGGATACAATAATACAGATATTCCTTGGTTTCAGATGGGGATATGTTCCAATAAACCCATCCTAACTTGAAAATATAAGTCAAAAATGCATTTAATACACTCAACCTACCAAACATCATAGCTTAGCCTGGCCCACCTTAACTGTACTCAGAACTCTTACATTGGCCTACAGCTGGGCAAAAACACAAAGCCTATTTTACAATAGTGTTGAAAGTCCCATGTCATTTATTGAATACTGTACTGAAATTAAAAAAGAGAATGGTTGTATGGGTACAGAATAGTTAAAAGTTTATTGGTTATTTACTTCCATGGTTGTGTGGCTGACTGGGAGCCTTGGCTCTCTGTCACTGCCTAGCATCACAAGAAGAGTATAGTACCACATATGGCTAGCCCAGGAAAAGATCAAAATTCAAAATTGGAAGTATGGTTTCTAGTGAATGTATATTGCTTTTCCACCATCACAAAGTCAAAAAATGGCACGTCAATCCATTTTAAGTTGGGGACCATCTATCTGTACATGAATAAGCAGACGTGTATGCTTAGCTTCACCCTAAAACTAGAGCATCTACTTCATGTTACCTTCTTTAAATCTGTTTACTATCCAGTCTAGCTGATCCAATGCACTGCGGAAAGTACCCATATGATCCAGGACTTCTTCTGTTACAGAATTCAGGATCTATGTCATAAAAGTGCAAGAGGTACATCAATTACTACTTATTCTGTCATATAGGATAAATACAACTAAGAAATCAATCCTTTTTTAGAAGTTAAAAATGCATTGAGATTTCCCATCAAGTCTGAAAAACCACTTAAAAATCCTACTGGTGCTTAAGGATATCGAATTCATTTTTTGGCCCAAGTTATAGTTAAAATGGAACATGGGAGAACAATAAAGATGTACAGGTAAGAGGGTAGCAAAAATATCACCCCCCACCAATATGGCAAACGCTAGAATACCACAGAGCTATCAAAGAAAACAGGATACAAATATTAAAGGCACTTTTTAAAAGGAATACTGTGCTGGTTAATAGCCAGCACCAAAAGGTTTAGTTTTCAAATGATGAAGAAACACAAATGATCTATAATAAATGCATTATAAAACTACAAACTATTATTTATATTATTACTTTCAGAGTAGCAAAGTGACACAAAAGCATAATAAAACTAATGTCTTCCATAATCCTGTCTTTCAGAGAAGCACAGTTGATATTTGGTATAGGAAACAACATAACATTCCTCTAAGACTTAATACATTTATCAGTTACAAAGTAGAAAATTCAGAGATGAGGATTCAAAGCTAGAACCCTGAGTCCAAACACATGATCTTAAGCACTATGCAATCCTACCTATTGTAAAGGCTAAAAAAATTTGAACATGCCGGAATGAGAAGCACCCTCATTCATGTGGGGGTACAGACAGGCAGGGATATAATGTTGCTCCTTTTAACATTTTTGAAACTTACTGATTTCACACTTATTCCAGGAAAGAAGCCATTGATGACAACATGAATGGAATCTTGCAGCACACTGGTTCGAAACCTTTCTAGTAAATCTCTCTTAGAACCCAAACCATAAAGCACAATGTTGAACCCCAGGCTGTTAGGAAAGATAGCATTCATGACATTAAAGTTCGGTACCTCTTAATTTTTTATAATCAACTAGTTTCTTTAAGTTGATGAAGAACACGGAAAGGACTAGGGTAACTGAGTAACTACACCAATTCCCAGTTTATACGCAGGAGAAGCACAGCTTTACTGTGTCCACGCCACACTTCAGTTCCAGCTTCGGGAGCTTTCTTTCCAGCTCTTTATTATCTCTCAAGTGATCACGGGCTGGAGGCAAGGGAAAACAGCAGGGACAAGGCACTAAGGGTTCCACAGGCTGAAGCAGAGTTTTAATTGATAGATTAAACAGGAAAGGTTTAGCAGAGGCCAGGCCACAAAGGTCTTGTTAAGTCAACTAATACATTAAGTAGACTTTATTTGAAGGACAATGACCATTTAAAAGCAACTACTCAGGTGTTAACGGAAATGTTCTAAGTAGGAAAGTAGCATGATATTTTTAGGAAGATAGTACTGGCTGAACGTGGGGAATGGACAGAAGGAGAGACCGACCGCCAAAGACTATGGACTTGAATTAGGTATTATGGAGAAAAATCACAGTTGTCAGGAGCTTTACATGTCCAGTCAACAGGATTTGGAGTGGTTAGATGTGGAAAGTGATGGAAAAGGAGTATTTCAAAATAACTTTTTTTTGGCATAGGCAACTCCATGAATGGGGAGACATTCATTGTGCCAGGTTCCTGGGGCAGGTGGGAATGATGGGTTTAAGAGGAATTAAATTTTATGTATACTGAATTATTTATAGGACATCCACTTGGAAACCTCCAACATACACTGAGATACCTTTATCTGTTGCTGAGGAGTGATACCTGGGCTGGGCCAGAGACACAACTATGGGAATTTTTCACTGCGAAAAGCAACCAAAGCCGAGAGAGTCAGAAGATCCAGAACACCAAGCACTATGGGTCAAGCTAAAGCTCGACTCCACGACCGTTCATAGAGGTCAGTCGGGAACAGTATTTACGTGGCACCCTGTAGCAACGCAGGGGAGCCTAGAAACAGAAGAAAAGCAATGACCCCCACGCATAGATCAGCAAGGTGGCAGCAGCGGAAAAAAGCGGAATTCAGAGAGTTGGCAATTCTGCTTAAGTAGCTGACTGAGGTCTAGGCTGGGAAGCAAAGCTGAACAAGTTATCAGAACTGACCTATTAGAAGGAGGAACTGGTCTGTAGGGGATGGGATCAGAGTGAAGAGCTACTTTACAAATTTATAACGAACAGATCTATAAACACTTACTGGGAAGAAACACTTACTGTAAGAAACACTTACAGGAAGACAAGCATGACCCTTTGATGTATTATTGGCAAAAGAAAACCAGGATCAATTGGGAAAATTGTGTCGATTTCTGTTTTTACTGCTTGGTGGACCTACCTTCTTACTTATTCCAGTGACCATGTAACCGTGAGTATACATTTACAATAGAACACTTTTTAAGCACTTCCTTATACTAAGATCCTTTTTAATAAAAGTAATTATAGCAAAAAAAAGTTTTAATAATTCTTCTGGTTATTTTAATGGGAATTTAAATTTTAACCTGAAGTATCTGAAAAATGGTAAAACTGAGAAACTATTCTAAGAAACAATTTTAAAATGGTAAAGTAATGTTTATAGGACAGATATCACAAAATTCTGAAGATCTATAGTACATGAAAATAGAATGAGATCAAAATAAATATTATATCCTCTTTAGGAACTTTGCTGTAGAAAACTGGACTTAAATGTAACTGATATCAATCTTGACAAAATAGATTTTCAAATACTTAGGTAAGTAGTAACAGAATTCCTTAGGAATTTCTTACCATTCCTTAGGAATTCCTTAGGAATATTTTACCATTGGCTTTCACATCTGATAAATTTAGACACATTTCTTGAAAACTAGAATTTGAGATGAGTCATACAACATGAAATTTCTACATATGAGTCATAAAATTAGGAAAATACCTATTTTTTTCAAATTTTTATATATAAAAAGTATATTGCAAAAAGTTGATTGCAAAAAGAAAATTCAATGTTAAACTGCTTTAACACAGACATATAAATATGTTATTTTACAAGGGTATGAAATGTTGATAGTACATACCGTAACTGCAACATCCATTTATGAAATAATTGTTCATATTGTTGATTTAGTTGTTTAAGTTCAGCAGAAAAGGAAGGAGAAACTTTGCCCAATAAGTTACGCAAAGTTTGCTTTAAAAAAAAAAAAAAGAAAAGAAAATCATTCTCAAACCATAAACATCAAAATCAGTCCAAACTAAAAATATTTCACTAGAGGTAGAGGTTGGAAGAAGCCAGTGGTAGAAATATTACTGTAATCAGGTTTCATAATGAGTGCATTAACAGAATACACATAATATTTCAAGTATGATTTAAGTGTTTTCTTTAAAAAAAATTTTTTTAGAGAGCATGAGTCTGAAAGCAAGGGAGAGAATGCACATGAGTGCAGGGGGAGAGGGAATAAGAGAATCCCAAGCAGGCCCCCCACCTAGTGCAGAGCACAGTCCAACATGGGGCTAGATCCCATGACCCCGAAATCATGACCGCAGGTAAAACCAAGAGCCAGACCCTCAAATGAGCTACGCCGGCACTCCTGTTTTCTTAAAAATTTTTAAGCATCGTTTTCAGGACAAATATATAACAGTAAAGAACTTCCCAAGTTTTGTTTAGAACCATTTCCATGATTATAAATTCCAAATATAAGGCTTTAATTTCTAAAAAGATCATTACCATAAGTAGATGATTAAGCCTGCCTCCCAGCTTTTACAACAAATCCAAACAGATTTTTAAAAAAAAATTTTTTTTAAAGATTTTATTCATTTATTTGACAGAGAGAGAGAGATCACAAGTAGACAGAGAGGCAGGCAGAGAGAGGGGGAAGAGCCCAATGTGGGCCTCAATCCCAGGACCCTGGGATCATGACCTGAGCTGAAGGCAGAGGTTTAACCCACTGAGCCACCCAGGCGCTCGTCCAAACAGATTTTTAAAAACCTACAAATTTGAAGAAATGTGAAAGCTTATAACAGTGAAATATGAATTCTCAGAAAACATTAAAGGTTCTTTATAATTTACCATTATCACTAGTAAAATAAACTTTTATCATTGTTTCTCTACCAAGAGCTGATGCTGCTTTTTTTAAAGTAGGCTCCACACCCAGAATGGGGCTTGAACTCTTGACCCTGAGATCAAGACCTGAGGTTGAGTCAGTAAATCCCGCTCTACTGACTGAGCCACCCAGATGCCTCATTAACATTTAATTTTTAAAAAATTTTTATTTATTAAATATCTCTACCCTCAACAATGATCCCAAGATCAAGAGTCACGGATGCCAGCCAGGTAAGCCCCAAAGCTTCTTCTAACAAATCCATCTTTGATAAGTACAGCAAAGTTTTGTGTTTTTCTTTCAGGTTTTTTTTTTTTTTTAAGATTTTATTTATTTACTTGACAGACACAGAGAGAGAGGGAACACAAGCAGGGCGAGTGGAAGAGGGAGAAGCAGGCTTCCTGCTGAGCAGGGAGGCCCATGTGGGGCTCGGTCCCAGGACCAGGGGACCATGACATGAGCCAAAGGCAGACGCTTAACGACGTAGGTGCCCCTAGATTTTAAGGAAGTGCCTGGGTGGCACAGTGAGATAAGCATCCAACTCTTGATCTCAGGTCGGTTCTTGATCTCAGGGTTGTGAGAGCATGGACAGGACTTAAAATAATAAATGAATGAATGAATAAGATTTTAAGTAATCTACACACCCAATGTGGGACTCAAACTCACAATTCCAAGATAAGAGTCATATGCTCTACTGACTGAGCCAGCCAGATGCCCCAGTATGGCAAAGTTTTTTAAACAATAACGTAAATAAACTATGGAACGTACATTGCCCTGTACCCAAAACTTAGAAATTCATGCTGGTGAATCAAATATAGCTCACTGTCTGAAAAGAAAACTCTAGCAAAAAGCTGTATATGCATTTTACCTTGGGGCTATCATTTTCCCATGATTCTATCCCTTAAGTAAAATATTTTTTTAATACTAAAGGGTAGAGTTGGTTAGCTATGTCTGCAGCCAGTGCAAGACCTTCCCTTCCCTCATTACTGGTAACAGGTGTTCCTTTCATTTTAGCTCTTTCGGCATCTCAGTCCTGTGAAACCTGCTTTTTTTTTTTTAAGATTTTATTTATTTATTTGACAGAGAGAGATCACAAGTAGACAGAGAGGCAGGCAGAGAGAGAGAGAGAGAGAGGGAAGCAGGCTCCCTGTCAAGCAGAGACACTGAGATCATGACCTGAGCTGAAGGCAGCGGGTCAACCCACTGAGTCACCCAGGCGCCCCGAAACCCTGCTTTGACTCTAGACTCATTCACCCTTCTCCCATGTTGCTTATATCGAAATAGATGCACTATGCAGATGTTAGTTCCATCTCCTCCCTGAAATAGTTTGGTTTCTTGACATGTTTTCAGTTAGTCTTTGATCTGAGTCGCAATACGAATAAGCCAGCTGACAAAAACAGAAACAATGACATCGCATCATGTCTTCTAGGTCACAGCAGCTTATCCTCTATATATCTCTTTTCTGTGTCTGTGAGAAACCCTGTATACCCTAGAAAACTGCAAAAATTCTAGTTTAAAAATAGTTAAGTCTCCATGCTCTTGGAGCCAGTAACAATCTCTTCTTGACCCAGATTATCCACCCCACTTTCTACTGAAAAATTTTCTCATTCAAATGGGTTCTCTCTTCTCTCTGGGAGGTGATCAATCAAAACCCTGAGTATAACTGGTATTTTTTATAAACTAAGATACCAGAATCATAGTATACGGTAACCTTGTTACCTTACGGTACTGAGCATGTTTGCCATAATTTCAAGAAGCAGATTCACTCTGCTCTTTGCAAGGTCTGTAACTAAGAGGCCGGTCACAGTCTACTTTATGACCAGTGTGCAGTTCAATGAATATGTGAGTTCAAGAATAACAGAGATTAATGCTGCATGGATATCCAAGAAACTATAGCCCTAATGATTATCATAAATCCTGAAGAAATAATAAAGTACTTAGAGAAAAAATTTTGATTATAGTACATCAAACAGATATCAAGTTAACCATTTACCATTTTATATAATGAAGTATCTATCAGGTCACTTTAATTTGTGTTTCATTTTATCAGGACAATAATTCAGTTTGTGTAAATTCACCCTTCAAATTTGTTGTTTATGTGGTGTACTTTTTATTTTTATTTATTTTTTAAAAAGATTTTATTTATTTATTTGATAGAGATCACAAGTAGGCAGAGGGGCAGGCACAGAGAGAGAGGAGGGGAAGCAGGCTCCCTGCTGAGCAGAGAGCCTGATGCAGGGCTCCATCCCAGGACCCTGAGACCATGACCTGAGCCGAAGGCAGAGGCTTAACCCACTGAGCCACCCAGGCGCCCCTGTAGTGTACTTTTTAGTTCACAATTTAAAAAAAATATAGAAGCAACATTCCTTACAACATACCTGATCCAGTTTGGCTCGCTTTAGTTTCTGCAGTGTTCTGTCAGAGGTCAAAACTTTTGAACTGCTATGAGCTTCAAAATATTCTTCTACCAAATCACTCTGAAAGCAGATACAGCAAAATCAATTCTTAGTTTCAGATATTTTTAAAATTCTGAAGAATTTTTAATTTTTTCAAAAGATTTTATTTATTGGGGTGGAGTGGGCGGGGAGAACAAGCAAGAGCCCAAGAGCCAGGGCAGAGAGAAGCAGACTCCCTGCTTGGTAGGGAGCCTGATGCGGGGCTCGATCCCAGGACCCTGGGATCATGACCTGAGCCTGGAGGCAGACGCTTAACCCACTGAGCCACCCAGGCATCCCTAGATACTTGATTTTGTTTTGTTTTGTCTTTAAAGATTTTATTTATTGATTTTACATAGAGACAGTGAGAGAGGGAACACAAGCAGGGGGAGTAGGAGAGGGAGAAGCAGGCTTCCCGCGGAGCAGGGAGCCCAACGTGGGGCCCAATCCCAGGACCCCAGGGTCATGACCTGAAGCAAAGACAAATGCTTAATGACTGAGCCACCTAGGTGCCCCTAGATATTTGTTTTTATCAAAACTAGACTGTAACATTAGGATAAAATAGGATACGTGGAATTCTTTATTTGGCACTATTTTCTTTCTGAAGCAACACCACAGATTAAGGACCAAGGACATTTAATTCTAGTAGTAAAACGGAGTAACTCTTAGGATCATAAAAGTTAAAGAAATGACTAGATGGAAGTAGTCTGTTCACAAAAACGATTCCTAAGTTCCAACATAAAATTTCCATTCAGACTCCTATCGGGACCTTCATTTTGCCTTGCACAGTTCTAACAAATCCTTTAACAGCTGAAGAACTGGAAATGAGGAAGATATCGACAATAAAGTAAAAGACCAGCTTACCGTTGCAGTGAAATGGCTTGCTACTTGTTCGGCAGACGTGGGGCAGGACTCACTGCCATGGGGGTGAGAAGGGATGGAAAACCTTCCAAGCAGTATAGGCTTCCTAGACTCCCCTGAATCTTTACACACAGCACCAGGTAATGAGCCTTTTCTCAGGCCACGGCACTTACAGTGATCTTCCCAACAACTCAACACGACCCACAGCCACTTTGCTTACCACTTGTATTGACTTGAATATATCAACAATGTTATAAAAACCAAACTATCTAAAAAGGTATTCACTGAGAAGTCTTGCTTCCAATTATCCAATTGAAATTTATTTAAAAGCTCATTTTTTTAAAAGATTTTATTTGTTTATTTGACAGACAGAGATCACAAGTAGGCAGAGAGGCAGGCAGAGAGAGAGGAAGGGAAGCAGGCTCCCTGCTGAGCAGAGAGCCCGATACGGGACTCGATCCCAGGACCCTGAGATCATGACCTGAGCTGAAGGCAGCGGCCCAACCCACTGAGCCACCCAGGCGCCCCTAAAAGCTCATTTTTATACAACTGAACTGAGATGTCACCTTTAGCATGTGGCACTGACACATGAGTATGAATGCAGACAGGCAAAACAGAAAGTTCGGAAACAGACACAAATACAGATGGGCATACTTACGGGAAAGACTGAAAATACAGAAGTAAAGAAAAAAAATTATGTTGATCCCCAAAGTGAATCTCTTTGGGGTAGCTTAGCTTTAAGAAAGTACACAATTTTTTTTTAAGGTTAAAGTCTCCACTTACTGTTTTATCTCTTTTCATTTTCTTAGAAGGTGTTTCTTTGCAAACAGGAGCTGACATAGCTCTATTCTGAGATGGACTCTTTTGGCTCAAGATGACTTCCTCAGTGTCCTCTTCATGTTCTTGGGCAACGCCATCATCATCTTCTGAGTTGGAAGCAGAATATTCACTTTCACTGTCAGAATGAGACCTTGGAACTGGTGGGGGGAAAGCAAGTGGGAAAATTTGAGAGTCTGACGAGAGGCACTGGAGGGTAATGGAAAGCGCGTGGACTTTGAAATAAGAGAATTTCACTCCTGGTTTTGTCATTACTTTCTGATTTTCCCAGAGCTAGTTATTATATAAAGTTTTCCGAGCACCAGTTTCCTCATTTCTCAAATGAAGCTCACAGTGCCTAATTTATAATGAACCGTTGTGAAGATCACAACGAAAGGTATGCAAAGCAACTAAGAATGCCTGACACCCAGGAACTGTCGATCGTACCTAGTATCGTTTTTTCTTCTTCCTTGCTAACGAACTCCCATTTTGTAAAATGTGGCAATGTGTCTCACCCTAAGGAATAAATCATCGTGGTAATTATCTTTTCTTCTGTCAGATACTTGTTTTCCCAGCCTCTTTTGCAACTAGGATTGGCTATGCAACACTCTGATCAATGAAACTTGAAGGAAAATTTGCTAGAAGCTTCTGGGAAATATTTCCCTCACTTATGGAGGGAAAGCCACTGATTTATACCAATAGCTTAAAGGTAAAAAAGCCATTTGCAATATGAAGCATCAAACTGAAAGAGGAAAAACGCTGGTGACAGAACAAAAAGATTGGAAGAACCTGGGTCCTTTATGACACTGGAGTTACCTCAACCATGGAATGGTCTATCCCTACACTTTTCATGATGTAAGATAAGTATATGTCTACGGCTTAAGCCATTATTGTAGAATTTTCTGTCGCTGCCTATACAAAAAATACCATCCTTAATTGACTCAATAAATGGTAGCTACTATTCTAAGTATTACTAAGAGACAGGCACATTCCATCCCAGAGCTGATACAAGCATTTTATTTTTAAACAAACCATAGCAACCTCCACTACTCCCCAGAAATAATAAAGCTAGTTTTACACTCATGAAGAATAAAACTATTTTACACTCAACAAAGTAAGTATAAAACTTTTATAAAAAGTTAACTTCCAAAATAAGAAAGTTCTTAAGCCAAATCAGTGTATCAATTTCAAACAACACATTTCAGAATATCTAGAGTCCGCATATAATAACACACAGGTCTAAAGGAAGAGAAAAAAGGATTTGATTTTGGGAGCACATATACCTTAGCAGAGTCATTTTTATACTGACTGCTGCCCACGGCACATGCGTGGGTTAGAAGTAGCAGGAGGAGCCAGAAAACGCTTCTACCTCATTGACATGTACACTTCTACATGTCTGGTGGGGACTGAGAAGGAAGAGGAAGTTTACCTTCTCTCTAAAAGGGATGATTCTTGATCTCAGGGTCGTGAGTTCAACCCCATGGTGGGCCTAGAGCTTACTTGGGGGAAAAAAAAAAAAAAAAAAAAAGGATGGGGCGCCTGGGTGGCTCAGTCAGTTGGGCATCTGACTCACTCTTGATTCTGCCTCAGGTAAGGGTCTCAGGGTGGTGAGATGAAGCCCCACATGGAGCTCTGGAGCTCCACACTCCGCAGAGAGTCTGTCTCCCCAACGCCCCAACATCCCCCCCACCGCCTGCTCATGCACTCTCTCAAATGAATACATCTTTAAAAAAATAAATTTAAAAGATAACAGCAACTAACACCGGTGAAACGCACCTCAAGGTCAAGCACTGTATTAAGCACTTTTGACATCTTTTATTTCCATTCCTCTCAGAACGACTCCGGGGCTGGTACAATTTTCACCCCTATTTTGTAAATGAAAAGCCTGAGCCATAGAGAGGTCTCTACAAGTGGCAGCCGAAGATAAAAAACAAGGAGCCTAAGACTAGAACCAACATAAACCAGGACTGCCCCTTGTTTAGGTGCTTTTTGTAAAAACTCAGTTTCAAAAGAAATACATACCTATTAATCTTTTCCTCAGACCACTAGGTGCTGTTGACAGATTTTCACTTTTATCGCTGTTCTGTTTAAAAATAAAGCAATACGGTTTCATTAATCAAATAATAATGATGACATGTAAATTAATGATGGATGCGTGAAAGAGGCTAGAAAAGAAAACGTTTTGTTTTTTTTAGACTACCTTTGAATTAGAAGACAATGACAATTGACTCGGTTAGGAAAAAATAGCAGAAAGCAACAAAAACAATGCAACAAATTCCAAAGGACTCCTACAATGATTCTAGAAGTTGTATTCCAGACATCTCTAAAGTATTTTCTATTACGTAAGAAAAAACAAAAGTATATGAATTAGCCTTTTGAACCACTTTCACCCATCAGATTAGCCGAATATTTCTTTTTAAAAAATTGATAATATCCAATGATAATGAGTAGGTGAGGAAATGGGCACTCGTATACATATGGCAGTAGGCCTTTAAATGTGTTTGAAATTTACTGGTGTTGAAGTATCACCTTCTGTGAGGAGGAGAGAAAGATCTCTACATTTTACTCCATTATGTTAAGATTTTTAAGCACTTCACGGAAGTATAAAGTCTGTTTTTCTTTTCCTCCACACAACATAATACTCTAATACCAATAAATTTCTATAGCACATTAAAATGCCCACTGTTGTATAATGTTAGTATTGATAAAAGATAAAGTCCCGGGGTGCCTGGGTGGCTAAGTGGGTTAAAGCCTGTGCCTTTGGCAAAGGTCATGATCCCAGGGTCCTGGGATAGAGCCCCACATTGGGCTCTCTGCTCGGGAGGGAGCGTGCTTCCCTTCCTCTCTCTCTGCCTGCCTCTCTGCCTACTTGTGATCTCTGTCAAATGAATAAATAAAATCTTTAAAAAAAAAAAAAAAGTCCCTGTGTTATTTTTGGCAATATGAAATTATGACAAAAAATTCACATCTGTTGTCTCGTAATAGGTTGTTAGTGTTAAATTTTCAATGTTAACACAATCTGATTTGGGATATTAAAAATAGTAGTGTAATAAATGAACTGAGCCCAATGGATTTATAAAGTATATGAACTTTTCTGATCCAGATCCTTAAAAAATGTTTTTACATTTTGCACATTTTGATCCACATGTGCATACAGCATACAATTGAAACAAATTATAATGAAATAATACTTACAAAATAGACATTCTCAATTTTATTTTCTCATTTTTTAAACTGCAGGTCATAGCTACTAAACTCATCTCAAGACTGAAAGGTGAGACAGCTGCCTCCATATAGATTAATTATCAGGGATGGGAATACCTGTGTCAAAATAACCGTTGTGGAAAATTCTTGCTCAAAAAGGTAAGGCTATAAATTAATAAATAACGACAGTGTTTGCTACAGAAATTTTTGCAAACTACCTTATCTAGACAGTTTGCTCATTTGGGCAACCTGGTCTCCCATCAGGATAACAGATAATTCAGCAGGGCAAGCAGCTAATCCAACAAGATTTCATTCTTCAAGACTCAGTTCAAGACCCTCTCTTTTCTGTGTCCACCAATCCTCAAGTATCATATAATGAGTTTTGTCTATACATATCAGTTTCCCATCCTGATAGCTGTACGTAAGCCTTTTGAGTCCAGATCTCCAAGCCCTATAAATATTCTCTCCTGAACCCCCCCTTCTAAGTGCACTAAGACTGCCACTGTGATGTCTCTCATTGTGGTAGGTCTTCTGATGGTTTCTTGGGGGAACTGACAAGATCCATTTATGTGTTGTGATCCACACCTTAAAAAGGAATGTGCTAATATATCTATATTCTTGACTGAATTATGGGAATGAGTTTTGTTCTTTCATGTCATACAGTATACACGATATAATACAGGAAGAAAGCATTATCAAAGACAAAAGGAGGCTCTAACATGTCTACTCAAGTCTACTCTCATATCTAGACTTGCCTAAATAGGACATTTGTACACAGGCCATAACCATGACCCTGAATGTCTATACTCACATTCTTATAAGGAGTTCCCCAAACTTAGCATATGCACAATTCTAGGCATGTCAAAATTTATAGCCATCAAGCCTGGACACACTCACACATACTCCTTGTGATGGGTTCACTGATGCCCATCTGGGCTTGTTCATATCCAGAGAGGGCCACTTGACAAGGCATAATGAAAAAACAAAAACACAAAGAGAAGAATAAAAATTGTCAATTCTTTTCAGCTACCCTGGAACGAATTTACCAAAACCAACCTGGTATTCAAATGTAAATTATGAAAGGATATACTAATGGATTTAATGGATCTTGGCATCAGTCCCGCAAGAAACAACAGAACATTATGTATAAAAGCAAAGCAAAGCAAAACCAAACAAAACCCATAAAATTTCCAGGCCAGTTCTACTAAGGTAAAAATATCCAGAGATAGTTCTGACAGAAATGGCACAGTGGTTGGGTGTAGAAGACCTGGCTTCATTTTTCATCTTTTCGCTTTCCGAGTTAGATCAACTCAGACAATCACTTCCCCTCGCGGAACCTTGGATTCTTTTTTTTTCTTTTTAAAGATTTATTTATTTATTTATTTATTTATTTGACAGAGATCACAAGTAGGCAGAGAGGCAGGCAGAGAGAGGAGGAAGCAGGCTCCCCGCTGAGCAGAGAGCCTGACGCGGGGCTCGATCCCAGAACTCTGAGATCATGACCTGAGCCAAAGGCAGAGGCTTTAACCCACTGAGCCACCCAGGCGCCCCAGAACCTCGGATTCTTCACCTAATGTAAGGTGTCCCGTACACTGAGATGAGTGCCCCGCTGTCATCATGTCCTTGTAACACTAACGTTTTTGCTTGTTTTCAATCAACCGCTTACCTTCAACTGAACTTTGTCTGAAGCAGAATGCCCTGAAGAATAAAACAAAAAGGCATTACTTACCACAGTACTTCAATTTTCATCATAGTCTAGTTTCATTAAACTGCTCCACACTATCCATAAAATGTGACTTCCAAACCCCCAAAGCCTTATTTCAAATAGAACGTGGCAAAGCAGTTCCTTCATGAGCAATCGGCTAACTCAAGCCAATGATAAGAGGGTTTTTTTTTTTTTAATTAATATATAATGTGTTACCTGTTTCAGGGGTACAGGTCTGTGATTCGTCAGTCTTACACAACACACAGCGCTCACCACAACACATACCCTCTGATCACAGGGTTTGAAGAGTATTTCTAGTTGACCCTGTCAATTTGCACAACTTCAATCAGCACAATTATTTCCCCCTTTTATTGAGAGCTACATATGGGCATACTAAGGCACAAACTGGGTATTAACTCTATTTTGTTGAATTTTCAGAACAGTAGAGAGTATATAGCAATGCAGTTAGATAAAAAAAAAGAAGCATAACTTGAAGCAACTATGAAAACTCTATTCAAAGAGCTGAGACAGAATCTTACCCTTGCTACACTGAGGAATGTTTATCATAATTTCAGGATCATTTTTCAAACTGAACGAAACATTTTTTCTTGGTGTGTTTGCTAGTTCTGAAGCTGTAAACAGACAAAAGTATATAAAACAATCTTTAATGGATGACAGCAGATGAAGGTGGAAATAGCTTTATTTCACTTACATAAGTTCTTTTTTTTTTTTTTAAAGATTCATTTATTTATTTTAGAGAGAGAGAGAGAGCGCGCCCATGTGCTAGAGAGTAGGAGGAAGGGTAGAGGGAGAGAATCTTCAAGCAGACTCCCACCAAGCGCGGAGCCTGACATGGGGCTCAACCCCATGACCCATGAGACCTGAGCCAAGATCAAGAGTTGGCTGCTTAAAAAAAAAAAAAAAGAAAGAAAAAAAGTGGTTGCTTAACCAACTGAGCAACCCAGATGCCCCTCACTTACATAAATTCTTATGGAAAAACAAAAAAAGAATCTGCCTGCTACTATTACCAGGAAGATAAACAAACCTACCCATCTTAAGAGCACTGCCTCTTACCTTTGTTTGCTATGTTCCAAACATCTTAAGTCGTCTTTCAATTATCTACAGGTGTCTCAAGAAAATACAAATAAACAGTTTTGGCCTTACTGCTTTCTATTATTGTCATTCTCTCTCCCTCTCCTCTCCACTGACAACTTAACACTCTTTCCATTTCTTTATCATACATACTTGAGGCATACCTTTGCTAGGGGTAAGAAAGAATGGCCAGAAAATAGGATCTAGAATCAAATGGAAGTTGTGTATGTTTAAAACTCTGCTTTAAAAATTCTTAACTCTCCCACCACATGTGGTATATTTTATTTTGTGTCTAAAGTTCTGTAATACATGTGAATAATATATAAACTATAATAGAGCACTGAACAGATGGCTGTTTCTTCAACTGAGCAGCAGATTAAATAGTTGGTCTAAAATACAGGGCCATTTTAAATGAAAACGATAATCTTTACCTTTAAAGATACTTACGTTCTCAATAGCATGAGAGCCATGCGGAATGGAGCCTAACTAAGGAATGGATTTATATTTCCCAATTTAACATATACTGGCCCATTGTTCACTGAGAAAAAAAGGGATATACTATTCAAATTATATCCTTGCCCCCTTTTGCTTTTAAAGGAGAAAGTATACTTGAATTTGTGTAAGTTAAAGCCACTTTACTGACTCAAATTCTTCCTAACCTGTTTCACAGTTTTAGCCTCCAAACTTGAAATGGATCCAGAATACCCAGGACCGTCTCCACAAATGAACTGCCTTCTTTTTTCTTAACTAACCTCCTTGGTCTTCTGTATCATTTACTAGAAATTTTTTTTTTTTTATCTTTCTTTGAAATTATTCCTCCATTTGGGTTCTGTGACATTATTCTGGCCCACAGCTACTGTTGGTAGTTATTCCATCTTTTCTCTGCTTTCTCCTTTGCATATTCTATCTCTAAGTCTTCCTAAAAACCAGCCCTTTGCTTTCTCTTCACACCAGAAGAATGTACTATGTTTAGATTAAAGGCTGTTGATCTAAAGGATAGGAAAAAAAGCTTTACATCAACAAAAAGCTACATTAAGCACAAAGTGATTTAGCTGGGATCATTTTGGTTATATGTTGCAACATGGAAAAATTCTGTTTTTAAGTAACTCTTAAACTACAAAAGGAAAAGAAAAGGAAGAATTGAAGAGGAAAAAGAGTAAAAGACAGTTAACCACATATGGCTCTTTACGAATAAAAAATTGAGGCATAAATTGTTTGTCTTTTTCATTTTTCTAATATTCATTTGTACTATATTTTACACAGCTGGTCTGCAACATATCAGAAATTATAAAATAAAACTGTAAAATCTTCTTTGCTTTCTCATTAGGCTATTATTTATCCTATCAACCAATCTATTTTTTAATTTCCCTAAGGTCATCCCTTTCTACAAGCTTGCTAAACTCCTTCCTGTTCTCTATTAGTATTTCTACCAAGTTTGCTCTTTATTTGCTCTTTTGCTTGCGTTCATTTACTTATCCAAGACATGTATTTTAAAAAGCCGCCCAGTCTAACTCCTAGTGTATTTCTAGTCCTGTATCTTCATTAGCCCAATTACATTTAACCATTTATACACAGTAGCATATGACTTTATGGCAGGTTAGAGTAATCTAAAAACTACTAAGGCTGGAGCGCCTGGGTGGCTCAGTTGGTTAAGTGTCTGACTTGGGCTCAGGTCATGATCTCACCGTCCTGGGATCAAGCCCTGCAGGGGGAAAATCTATGCTCAGCGGGGAGTCTGCTTCCTCCCTCCCTCGGCCCCGCCCCTGCTCTCTTACTCTCTCAAATAAATAAAATCTTTAAAAAAGAAAAAAATACTAAGGCCTTCTACTTCACTGATATAATTAGATGTAAATACAATTAGCGACAATACTAAGTAAGTCAAAGAAACTATTTAAAGACCATTACAGGGGAGCCTGGGTGGCTCAGTGGGTTAAGCCTCTGCCATCAGCTCAGGTCATAATCTTAGGGTCCTGGGATCGAGCCTGGCATCGGGCTCTCTGCTCAGCAGGGAGCCTGCTTCCTCCTCTCTCTCTGTCTACTTGTGATCTCTCTCTCTCTCTCTCTGTCAAATAAATAAAATCCTTAAAAAATATATTAAATAAAAATTAAAAAATAAAGACCATTATAACTAAACATTAGTCCTAACTAAAACACGGATTTTATAAAGTATGATCAATTTCAAATTATCTAGAAAACCATCTTTTCATGACCGTATATATATATTTTTTTCCTTTTTTAATGATTTTATTTATTTGACAGAGGGAAAGAGAGCATGAGTAGGGGTAGCAGAAGAGAGAGAAGCAGGTTCCCCACTGAGCAGGGAGCCCGATGTGGGGCTCAATCCCAGGAACCTGGGATCATGACCTGAGCTGAAGGCAGACAGCCAACCAACTGAGCTGCCCAGGCGCCCCCATGACTCTATATTTCTTTCATTTGTGTTGACAGAAATGTACAACATAACAATACTTAAGTTTCTTGCATCCCATATAATGGAAGACCTGCATCATGGTTATTATATGCATGTTGAAGATCTACTAGGAGAACTTCTATGTGGCTACTCTTCTGGGGCTCCTCTCCACTATTAGTTCTCTTTCTCCAATGTTCTTTGTCCTGTTTCACAGTTCTGGGGTTTCAGGTTAGTCTTGGTGTCTATCTGATCCTTTCTGTAATAATTGTTTTAGCATTTATTCTCTGGTTTCTCAGCGATCCTACACAGAATCCAGTCATTTTTACAAATCAAAAAACTTTCAATTTCTTGATGTGGATTATAAACACTACGAAATAGATCAGTTACTGTAAATTATCGTACTTGCCATGTTAGTTTCAAAATTAATGAATTTCATATTAAACCTTTTAGAAAAACTGCATTTTGCAAATAATTTATTATGTTCTATTACATAGGTCTTATAATTATTTCTCATATGTCCCTCATCAGTATCAACACTTAAGTTTCTCACTTGATCTTAAATGTTTACCTGGTTACTGGCCAGAATGACTGCATAAAAATACACTACTTCAGAAATACATGTTGGTGTTCTATGATTACAGATTAAAAACCCTATTACACCATTATTACATTTTACCGGGTGGTTAATTATTATTCTCTTACTCTTGATTTCTTGGTGTCCCAAACCTTCATATACTTATGGGCCTCCTTAATTTTCAAACTGCTTTCACATGTTATTTCCCTTCCTCCAAGCTTTTAAATCTAACCCCATACCACAGAACCCAAATAAAGTTTAACTTAAATGTTGTATGTAATTTATTTTAGTCTAGTTTTTAAGAATCAGTAATTCATGTGTAATTAGTGTAAGTGATTAAATTGAGTAAGAAAATGTCACAATAGCCCATTTGTAACAATTTATAGTTTTCTACAATATAAACATTTTTCCATACATAGTATAAAATTCTTATTTAATAAACTCAAAATATTTGTGATTTCGGCGACTCATATACTTAAAAATTTGTTCAGAGCCTGTGCTACATGTGGGAAGAAGATGAAGCCAGGAGTCCCAAGATGAGAACCTTAGAACCTAGCTGGGAACAGAAGACATATAGGAGCATGAAAATCTGACTTTATGTATGCTTGAAAATGTGATCATAAAATGACATCCCTCATTCTTCTAGGGAATGCAATAAGATGATAACTGTGGGGAACGTGGTGAAGTACACCTTCTTAGAAGAGCAACTTACCTAATTTAGCCATCTTTTCAGAATGTTTTCTGTTCTGAAAAGAATAAACTTTATTCCCACCATCTGCAGCAGAGCCATTTTTCAAGGATTCTAAAAGAGAAAATGCAATATGTTTTGGAAAAATAAGCAATAATAACAGAAAAAAATCTTTACTAAAAACCTAGATTTGTACCCCCTATTGTCTTGCATAAAGGTTTAACAATACATATTTATACATAAAGTATTTTTAGAAATACAAAAGAACTGTTTATATAAACTTGAAACACAGAAAACCTATTATTCTTCACAATAAACACACACACACACACACACACACACACACACACACAGCTCCCCTCCCAAAAGCCCCTCCAGACTGAGGGATATGCATTCATCATACTGTTGCCCCTAAGGCGGGAAAACCAAAGAGACTCTAGTATGTTTTCTTTCTGAAGCAAATACACAAAGTGCGATGGAGCTGAGGCTGAGATTTAAATAGTTGTTACACGGTTGCAGCTCTCTTACTCCCTATTGAGATAGTGACTTAATTTCATGCAATCATCCACTTAAATGAAACTGCTACCTGCGACATACCAGATGCGCATGGCTAGTAGCACAGCAATTCTCAAAGTGTGGTGGCGTCAGGTATCCCAGGTCCCCGAGGCCAAAACTATTTCATAACACTAAGATATTATTTGACTTTTTCTCAATCAAGAGTGGAGAGTGAGGGGCGCCTGGGTGGCTCAGTGGGTTAAAGCCTCTGCCTTCGGCTCAGGTCATGATCTCAGGGTCCTGGGATGGAGCCCGGCATCAGGCTCTCTGCTCAGCAGGGAGCCTGCTTCCCCCTCTCTCTCTGCCTGCCTCTCTGCCTACTTGTGATTTCTGCCAAATAAATAAATAAAATCTTAAAAAAAAAAAAAGAGCAGAGAGTGAGGTATTCCAGATGTGTGACACGTGATGATGTGTGATGACAGCACCATCCCGTGGGTTAAAATGGAGTGTGTGAAGCAGATATGAAAACTCAGTTCTTTGCCAGACATTAAAGAGATTTGCAAAAATGTAAAACAGTGACTTCTTCACTTCTTTTGAAAGTTGTTTTTCATCTAAATATATGTAATTTCTGTCAATATGTAATGGGCTTATTACTGTTATTACAAAACAGTGCCAACTTGTCCAAAGTCAGTGCTCACTATCCTTACTGTTTGAGTCCCCATTATGTAAGCACTAATACTTGGCATTACCCAGACTCCTTAATCTTTGCCAATCGAGTGAGTGTAAAAATGAGTCTTATGGGGAGAGCTGTTTCAATTTCCCTTTTCCTAATCACTAATGAGGTTGAACATCCTTCCACAACTTTATTTCCAAGGAATAAATACCTTCTTTATCCTGTGACTTGCCATCTTACTTCTTTATGATGACATTTGATGAAGAGAAGTCCTAAATTTTTTTTTTCAAAGACTTTATGTTTTAAAAGCAGTTTTAGATTAGAGCCAACCTGAATAGAAGGTACAGAGGTTTCCTATAGACTTTCTGCCCTCACAAATGCACAGCCTCAACAACCCACACCCTCATGGTAATTTGTTACAATCATGAACCTACACTGACACTTCTTTAACATCCCAAGTCCACAGCTTATATTAAGGTTTACTCTTGGTGTGGTACATTCTATAGGCTTTTTTTTTAAGTTTTTATTTACATTCTAGTTAGTTAACATACAGTTACCCAATATAGTTAATATTGATTTCAGAGGTAGAACTTTGTGATACAGGCTTACACATAACACCCAGCGCTCGTCACAAGTGCCTTCCTTGACACCCATCAACCCTTTAGCTCACTCCCCACCCACTTCCCCTCCAGCAACCCTCGGTTTGTTCTCAATAGTTGAGAGTCTCTTATGGTTTGCCTCCCTTTTTTTTTTTAACCCCCCTCCCCTATATTCATGTTTTGTGAACTCATGACTGAAATCATATGGTATCTGTCTTTCTGATTTATTTCACTTAGCATAATACATTCTAGCTCCATCCATGGGGTTGCGGGCGGCAAGATTTCATTCTTTTTGATGGCTTCCTATAGGCTTTGACAAAAGTCTAATGACCTGTATCCACCACTGTAGTATAATACAAAATAGTTTCAGTGCCCTAAAAATTCTCTGTACTCTACCTAGTCATAGCTCCCATCCCCTGACACCTGGCAACTACTGATCTCCTCACTGTCTCTGAGGTTTTGCCTTCCCTAGAATGTCATATAGTTGGAATCATAGTCAGTAGCCGCCTTTTCAGATTGGCTTCTTTCAATTAATAATCATATTTAAGGTTCTTCCATATCTTTTCATGTCTTGATACCTTTTTTTAAGTGCTGAATAATATCCCACTGTATGGATGTATCAGTCTATTCTTTTTTTTTTTTAAAGATTTTATTTATTTGACAGAGAGAGAGATCACAAATAGGCAGAGAGTGAGAGGGGGAAGTAGGCTCCCCACTGAGCAGAGAGCCTGGCATGGGGCTCGATCCTGGGACCCTGAGATCATGACCGGAGCCGCAGGGAGAGGCTTAACCCACTGAGCCATCCAGGCCCCCCTCAGTTTACTTATTCATTGTTAACTTTTTGGTTGCAATTGCAATTGCAAACCACTGCAATTATGAACAAAGCTTCTATTAACATCCGCGTGCAGGTTTTTTTTGAATGAACACGAGTTTTCAACTCATATAAGTAAATACGAAGAAGCACAATTGCTAGATCATATAGTACGAATATGTTTAGTTTGCAAGAAACTGGCAAACTGTCATCCAAAGAGCTGTTCCATTTTGCACTCCCGCCAGCAATAAATGAGAGTTCCTGTTGTTCCACAGATTTGCCAGAATTTGGTGATGTCAAGATTTTGCACTTGGGCCATTCTAATAGGTGTGTAAGTGGTATCTCGCTGTTTCAATTTGCAATTTCCTAATGACATACAATGCTTTTAGTATATTTTCATATGCTTATTTGCCATCTGCGTATCTTCTTGGTGAGATGTCTGGTTCCTCTGCTCATTTTTATTATTTATTTATTCAATGGATTATTCATTCATTTATAATTATTGATTATTAATATTACATATTAATATATTATAAATACATAATTATAATGTACAGTATACTCTAAATAACTGATATATTAATTATAAATTACTGTTTAATTAATAAATAAAATTTATTAAATAAATCAATAAAAGATTTTACTTATTTATCTGCCAGAGAGCGTACAAGCAGGGGAGCGGCAGGCAGAGGGAAGAGCAGGCTCCCTGCTGAGTCCTCTGCTCATTTTTAAATCAGATTATTCATTTTCTGACTGTTGATTTTTAAGAGGTCTTTGTATATTTTGGATAAAATTTCTTTTAGTTTTTTTAAAGATTTTATTTATTTATTTGACAGATCACAAGCAGGCAGAGAGGCAGGTGGGGTGGGGGGGATTGGAGGGGTGGGGAGCAGGCTCCCTGCCAAGCTGAGAGCCCAATGCAGGGCTCAATCCCAGGACCCTGGGATCATGACCTGAGCCGAAGGCAGAGGCTTTAACCCACTGAGTCACCCAGGCGCCCCACTGGGTAACATTTCTTTAACAGATGTGTTTTGCAAATATTTTCTCCTAATCTGTTGTTTAATCTTCTTGAGAAGCATTGAATTTTAATTAGTTGAATATGTCAGTCTTGTCTTTTGATTACATTAAACTAAAAGAAATTCCTCTATAATCAAGTCAAAACCATATTCTCTTATATTTTCTTATAAAAGCATTTATATTTGCTTTATGTAAATCTTAAATTAAGGTAATTAACTTGCTTATGATGGGAGGAAGAGATCAAGTTCTTTTCATAAGGATACCCAATTGGCCCAACGTTGTCTACTGACCAGGTGATCCTTAGCTGAGTGGTCTCCAGCGCTACCTCTGTCATGTATCTGATTTTCATGTATGCATGAGTCTGTTTATGGCAAACTTAAAAGGCACAGAAACGAAATATTTAAAGGTACTGTGTGCTTTCTATGTAAACTAAATTAAATGCTTGAGAAATATTTGATAAAAGTTATTAACTAAAACAAATGGTTTCAAATTAGGTATGAATGAGAAACCATAAAAGATTTAAGAAAAGGGGCGCCTGGGTAGCTCAGTGGGCTAAAGCCTCTGCCTTCGGCTCAGGTCATGATCTCAGGGTCCTGGGATTGAGCCCCGCATCAGGCTCTCTGCTCAGCAGGGAGCCTGCTTCCTCCTCTCTCTCTGCTGGCTCTCTGCTTACTTGTGATCTCTGTCAAATAAATAAATAAAATCTTTAAAAACAACAAAAAAAAGATTTAAGAAAAAATTTGAAAAAATATAAAAGCATACTATACCAAGGCTGCATCAAGTGTCTTTAAATGTACAATCTAATGGAATCCCAGATGCTGCATGCATTATGGATATACTGTCTAAAAAAATCCAACACCAAAATCAAAAGGTAGTGCAGTTCTTCAATCAGCTGACCTCTACCGAACTTCTAATTAAAGAAAAGACTATGTGTGTGTGTTTGCTTATATATACACACATATATACATATGTTTATATATAAAAATGTTTAGAGTACAGTAGTTACCTTTATGATTTTCTGGTTCTGACATTTTGATTGACTAATTAACAATGGCTATTATCACAATGGGCAAGAGTTTACTATAATATATATAGAACTTTTTAATAGGTTTTAAATTACTCAAAATGCACAAAACCAAAATGTTATGTATATAAAAACCACGGAAGAGGGGCGCCTGGGTGGCTCAGTGGGTTAAAGCCTTTGCCTTCGGCTCAGGTCATGATCTCAGGGTCCTAGGATCGAGCCCCACATGAGGCTCTCTGCTCTGCGGGGAGCCTGTTTCCTCCTCTCTCTCTGCCTGCCTCTCTGCCTACTTGTGATCTCTCTCTGTCAAAAATAAATAAAATCTTTAAAAAAAAATGCTTAAAAAAAACACATGGAAGAAACTGAAGTGGGTAATAAATATAAGAAAAAATGTTTAATGCCAATGAGGGATCTTAATACTAGTTGATATAATCTTTCTAGAAATTTGGGAATATGTACGAACACCTTCACCAATAATTCTACAGCTAGGAGTCTCTTCCGAAGAAATAAAAGATCTAAACAAATATTTATGCCCAAGGATAATCACTACTGCATTAGTTACAATGAAAATTTAGAAATAATCCAAAAGCCTAATAGAAGCCAACTATATTATTTATAAATTTGAATCGGTATTACAGAAATAACACTAATATTTCACACCCATTAGGAAGGCTACTAAAAAAAAAAAAGTGTTGGTAAGCATACAGAGAAATTGAAATGCTTATGCACTGTTGGTGGAAATCTAATTTGGTGTAGCTGCTGTGGAAAACATTATGGCAGCTCTTCAAAAAATTAAAAATAGAATTACCATATGATCCAGCAATTCTACTTCTGGGAATATACCCAAAAGAATTCAAATCAGGGTCTCAAAAAGATACTTGTACACCCATGCTCATAGCAGCATTATTCATAGTAGCCTAAAGGCTGAAGCCACCCAAATGTCCATTGACAGATGAATGGATAAACAAATGTATATACATACAATGCAGTAGTATTCAGCCTCAAAAAGGAAATTCTGACACATGCCACAACATGGATGAAACTTGAGAACCTTATGCTAAGTGAAATAAGCCAGTCACACACAAAAATACTGTATGATTCCACTTACATGAAGTACCTAAAATAGTCAAATTCAGAGAGAAAGTAAAATGGTGGTTGTTGGGCTGTGGAGAAAAGGGACTAGGGAGTTTTTAATGGCTAGAACTCCAGTTTTGTAAAATGAAAAGAGTTCTGGAGACTGCTAAACAATGGGAATGTATTTAATACTGAACTATACACTTTAAGATGGGAAATTTTATATTACATATATTTTATCACAACTTTTATTTATTTATTTTCTCATAATTTTTTTAAAAAAGATTTATTTATTTTAGAGAGAGAGAGCGTGAGGATGGGGGTATGGACAAAGGGACAGGGAGAGAGAACCTCAAGCAAACTCCACACTGAGCCCAATGCGTGTCTCGATCCTGCAATCCTGAGATCATGACTAAGCCAAAACCAAGAGCTGGATGCTTAGATGACTGAGCTACCCAGGTGCCCCTCTCATAATTTTTAAAGAGATTTTATTTAAACACAATTAAAAATCTGATATAATCCTTAAGTTCAAAAATGGAACTGTGAATAAGGCAAAATTAAATATAATATGAATGGGGTGCCTGGGTGGCTCAGTCAGTTAAGTGGCTGACTTCAGCTCAGGTCATGATCTCAGGTCCTGGGTTGGAGCATCGCCTCAGACTCTGTACTCAGCAGAGAATCTACTTCTCCTTCTCCCTTCTCCCACTCGTGCATGCACACAGTCTCTCTCTCAAGTAAACCAAAAAAATTTTAGAAAGAAAGAACGAGCAAACCACATATTTGTCACAGAATTTTCTAGCAGCTAACTTACAAAGAATCAAGTATAGAATTACACTGTTCATAAGACTAAAAAACAAACCAACTGTTCAAGAGAAACATCAATAAGACAAATCATTCTTGAGAACACCTACCTAACTGCGTTGGGAAAAATCTTCTACTTAAGGCTGAGATCAACTAGCACTTCCATGCAATGATTGTTCTCCAGACTAGATGGATTAACAGACTATAAGAATTAAACCAGGTACGTCAAGATGTGTGCTGCTTATAAGCAGTAGCTTATAATAATAAATATCGTATAATAAATTTTATAAGTAAAGGGATTAATCAATAAAGTATTTAGAGGTCCTTGTTAAAAGGTCATTCTATTCCAAAGATTCTTTGCCAAATGTCCTTCTGTGTCTTAAAAATAATGCATATTTGTTTTCTATTATAATAAAAGATTAGGCAGAAGCTTATTGTTCATGATTTCAAATGAGGCTAAAAAAGATTGCAGTAGATGTCACCATTTCTTCTCTAAAAAAAAAACCTTAAAAGAAAACTCTTCTTCCTACACCTTAACTGAAACACCGTTTTCCATCCTATCCACATATTGGGAAACAAGAAAAAACAAATCAAAATAGTAAAAACCATGTCCTTGAGACAACTGTAAGTTATGAGCTCATCTGTAGTACATGCCCATAGCCAAATGAACAGCTCCATTTCCTGGACTCAGAGACTGTGTATGCACAAGGTTATGTATGTGCATGCACATTCAGACGGAAAATACACACCCAACTGTTAATAGTTCCATGTTCTCTAAAAGCATGCATTCTCAATAGGATTATATTGCTCTTAATGGATTAAAAAATAGCTCCTAGTGGGAGGAGAGAGAATGTGAAAAACACCTTAGATATTACAAACGGTCTGTGGTCTTCCCAATGGCCACAGACATGTACACTGATATATAAACAGATTTGTATCATATATGTAGTATTAAAATTTTGTGGGTGGGGCAATTAGGAGAAAATGTATAAAAGAAGGCTCTTGAGGGGATGACCGTAAAAAAACAGGTTGAGGAACACTGGTCTGAGGCAGTTTCCCAGAAGGTGTGCAAAACTAAAGGCATAGGTTACAGATGTGCTGAGTAACGATCCTCTTAGGCCTTTGAGCATGCCAGTCAGGGCTTGCAGAAGGGGCAGGAATAGGGGTCAGAAGCCCGAGGGCATTTATGGGTCTGGAGCATTCTCCTCCATTTATTCCAGTATGCTCCCGAATATCATTTGCTGTGAATGCTATTATGTAAGATAAAATGGACTTTACTACAAATATGTATTACTTTTTTTTTTTTAATTAAAGATTTTATTTATTTATTTGACAGACAGAGATCACAAGTAGGTAGAGAGGCAGGCAGAGAGAGAGGAGGAAGCAGGCTCCCTGCTGAGCAGACAGCCTGATGTGGGGCTTGATCCCAGGACCCTGAGATCATGACCTGAGCAGAAGACAGAGGCTGAACCCACTGAGCCACCCAGGTGCCCCCAAATATATATTACTTTTTTCTTAAGATTATTTTTTTTAAAGTAATCTCTACATCCAACATGGGACTTGAACTTACAACCCCCAACATCAAGAGTCGCATGCTCTACCAACCAAGCCAGCCAGGAGCCTCTTTTACAAAAAGAAACAATTTAAAAAAAAATAAAAACACTCTAGGGGTGCCCAGGTAGCACAATCATTTTAACTTGCTACTCTTGGTTTTGGTTCAGAATATGAACTCAAGATCATGGAATTGACGCCCATGTCAGTTTCTGAGCTCAGTGGGGGGTCTGCTTGAGATTCTCTCTCCCTCTGCCCCTTCTGTTCATGTTATCTCCCAAATAAAAAATAAACCTTTTTTTAAAAGATTTTATTTATTTCTTCAATGAAGAGAAAGAGAGCATGAGCCCACAAGCAAGGGAAGCAGCAGAGGGAGAGGGAGAAGCAGGCTCCCAACGGAGCAGAGAGCCCGATATGGGACTGGATCCCAGGTCCCTGCAATCAAGACCTGAGACAAAGGCAGATGCTTAACCGACGAAGCCACCCAGGGACCCCAAAAGACAGTTTAAAGACAAATATATTGTTTTCAATCTCTTCTTCGGTCTACCATAACATGAATGAAGAACTCAAAGTTCTGGGGCGCCTGGATGGCTCAGCCGGGTAGGCATCTGACAAGTCTGCTTGTCCCTCTGCCCTTCCCCCTGGCTCATGCTTGCTCTTGCTCTCTCTCAAATAAATAAAAATCTTAGAAAAAAAAAAAGAAGAAGAAGAATCCAAAATTCTACTCAGAACATGCCCTAAAAAATGTCAACTATCTAACTGGGGACACTTTTAAAAAATCCACTCTGCCTACTTAGTCTATTAAGGGATAATGGTTTTTTTGTTGTTTTTTTGTTTGTTTGTTTTTTATATCATGCCATTTAACACCAGGAACTAAACCAGAAGCATTATGACTCAAGTGACAAAAAGGTCAGGAGTAGCGATGATGGCCATTTATAGGACAAATATGAGTAAAAAAGCATGTAAATGACAGAAATAGGTAAGAGAGAAAGAGAATGGGTGCACAGAGGTGACCTGAGGAAGACTAGGAGATCCATACAAGCAAAGTCCCTATGTTTTTAATGTGGTCTCAGTTCCAACGTCTCTAGTGCCCAACAATACTGATTTTGTTCCTTGGTCTTTATTTTTTTTAAGCCAACTTAAGTAAATCTGTGTTCCTTGAGCCCTAGCTAAAACATAATAGACCTAAAAATTTTAAATATAACCCGGCAGGAATCTGGCTTAGGTGTAAAAAGAAGAAAAACAACACCAGCATGCTAGTTTGAAGCAATATTACTTCTTGGAATGTTCCTTCTCTCTCCCTCCCTCCTTCCTTCTTTCCCTCCGTCTTTCCCTCCTTCCCTCACTCACTCCTTCCTTCCTTCCTTCCTTCAGGAAGAGACAGAGAGAGTGGTGAGCTTGAGGCAAGGAGGGGAGAGGGGCAGAGAGAGAGGGAGTGAGAGAATCTCAAGCAGGCTCCACACCCAGCATGGAGCCCAACATGGGACCAACCCTACAGCCCTGAAATCATGACCCAAGCTGAAATCAAGAGTCAGATGCCCCACTGACAGAGCCACCCAGGTGCTCCCTTTCTAAATATTTCTGTAAAAACCAAAGTAATAATGAAGTGATTTGCTTTATGAAATTATTTCAAATTAGTTAAAAGTGTAAATATCTTAACATATAACTTTAGATTGTGCTGTAGACTCTAAAAATAATTAAGTGCAGGATTGGTTGCTTATTAAAAAAAAAAAAAGAAAAAAACTGTAGTTGAGGGGCGCCTGGGTGGCTCAGTGGGTTAAGCCTCTGCCTTCAGCTCAGGTCATGGTCTCAGGGTCCTGGGACTGAGCCCCACATCAGGGTCTCTGCTCAGTGGGGAGTCCGCTTCCCCCTCTCCCTCTGCCTCTCTGCCTACTTGTGATCTCTCTCTGTCAAAATAATAAATAAAAGCTTTAAAATAAAAAAAAAAAACCGTAGTTGAAGTCAGTGCTTCCAACCTTTCCAACTATACATAAAAACCTTAAGCGCATGCTTTTCTGATGAGAAATATAACAACATAGCACGCCTGATGAAGAGTTCTGGAGATGGATGGCGACAGTAGCACAGCATCACGAATATATTCAACACAACTGAAGTATACACTTAATGTTAAATATGGTAAAGTTTATATGTTGTTTACAGTAAAAAAAAATAACATAGTTTGCCACTGCCTAACCTACCAGACTACTGCTACGAATCCAGCAAAGCAGTTTCGGCTACTAGCAGAAATTTAAGTATACTTTCCCCACCCCAACCACCAAAATACCTTGAATATCTCGTCCTAAAACTTCCACATAATTCTGATCTTTTAAGACTTCCTGGTCATCTTCTTCCAAATCATATTCTGGCTTTTTTATTATTTTTTTTGTGTTGACCAAAAGCTGAGCTCGCTCCTTTTTTAATTTAGCTCCTATAAGAACATCCAAAGAATTAGAACACGACAGGTATAAATGCTTTCCAAATATTACATTTAAATAAGTAAATAAACTGTAATACTTATATTGTCATTATTTAAAATCAGGAAAAAAATTCAGTGTTTTCTCTTTGACGAATGTATGTACTACTCTTTACCACAGTTTATATAAAGAAAAACCTTGAAAGTTTGTTATGGGGGGGGTGTCACATTTTAATTACAAGGGATAGTTATCACTTACCCCTAATACTATTTCATTTCAGATAAGGCTTTATTATTTTTAATTTTCAAAAGTTTCAATGGAGTAAACTAAAAAAGTAGTTTTTATTTAGTCTTACTAGATCAGATACTTTATGCTATATTTTTTAAGTAGGTTAAAATATTTTACAAAAGTGACATAATCCATAACCATCACATAAACATCTCTTCAATTTTATAATTGTATAATCAGTACCTCCTTCTCTATCAAGAATGTGATTAAGGACATCATCATCTCCCACAAACTGAACCTCCATGATCTTGTCTTCCTTTAATTCCAGTTTACTCATCATTGCCAACCTAAACAAAAGCAATGAAGAACACAAACATGATGAAAAATTCATTTCAACAACGAAATAAACATTCACATAATACATACATGTATTTATATGACATTTTAAAAAGTCTCAAGTATGAAAAATGTATTATGCATTATTGCATTAATATTATGCTTTTGATAACAGGTAGATCAACTCTTTATCTGAAAAATGGAAAAGACAGGAAGTGGTGTCTGAGAGTTGGAAAAAGCCAAATTCAATCAAGGCAACTAAAATATAATAATAGGAAAGCAATTCTTCCTGTAAAGAAAGCCCTAACCAATCTACAGAATGATAACATTACCAGAAAGGAGGTGTTTAATACATGAGAGTTTAGAGAAGGGGCAGACAAGCAAAGAATAATAATTTGGTAGATTTTAGTATCTATTCACTAGAAATAAATAGTCAATTGGGGGAAGTCCATGCATTTCACTGGTATACCAAACCTGGATCAAATAATCCTAAAGCACCCCCCTTTACTATTATCGCATGCTTACCAAACAATTTTATAGTTAGAATAAGGCTTTCTGGGTATCCTGGTAACCAAACAGTAAACATGCATCTTTCCAATACTTTTTACAGTCAGTTCTTCACTGAACAGACTTCAGAATTTGGCAAACAAAAACTTGATCAACTCTTCCTACTCTGAAAAAAATTTTGTCTCAGAACTATATATTACTAATGGCTTGAAACGAAATAAGGATGATCCCAACTGGCTCCCAGCTAATCTGTTTACCCCAAAAATGAATTTTTTCTCTCCTCTCTCTCCTATAAATCCTATTTTCCTTTTATCTACTAATAATAGGAACTACGGACTATGTCACTTGTGAGTCAGTTATTTGCATGCATTAACTTACTAAAGGTTGTCAAGTTTTCTTTTGTAACTAGCACACTTTTTTTTCTTTTTTTAAAGTTTATTTTTTTATAATCTCTATACCCAACGTGGGGTCAAACTCACAACCAGGAGTTGTATGCTCTACCAACTGAGCCACACACCTCCCCTCCGCCACACTTTTTTTCTAAAAAATGACATCTTTACATTTTTAAAGTTTTATTTATTTAAGTTATCTCTACACCCAACATAGGGCTCAAACACAACCTTAAGATTAAGAGTCATATATTCTGGGGCGCCTGGATGGCTCAGTGGGTTAAAGCCTCTGCCTTCGGTTCAGGTCATGATCCCAGGGTCCTGGGATCGAGCCCCGCATCGGGCTCTCTGCTCGGCAGGGAGCCTGCTTCCTCCTCTCTCTCTGCCTGCCTCTCTGCCTACTTGTGATCTCTGTCTGTCAAATAAATAAATAAAATCTTTAAAAAAAAAAAAAAAAAGAGTCATATATTCTTCCAACTGAGCCAGCCAGATGCCCCTAAAACTAGCACACTTAAATGGCTTGTCTTTATTTTCACTTACCTTTAAAAGCACTACACATTCTGCAGCTGGAAAATTCAGGTAGAGTCACCTGCAATTGTAAAAAGAACTTGGTCAAGGTCGGCTAATAGGAAATGAAAGCAACCAAAGAAGTTCACGAGTTTAATAAACAAGATGAATAGATAAATGCAGTTCTTACAAAGTTATCACGATGGCATAGCAAAGGACAAAACAACCATCAGTATTTTGGCCAGGAAGTACTAGAGACCGAGAGGATCTGGACACTGGGGGCAAGTGGCTGGAAAGAGGAAGCCAACATTTGAGCACTTACTATATGCTGGACACAATTTTGAATATTCTATATGTTATCTTCATTTAACCCTCATAACAACTCTATTAAGGCTTATGTTTTGTGTATAAAGATAATACATCTATAACTTATATGACCACTGCCAGCAGAACATAACCTTTTGGGTCATCTTTCTAGTCATGATACTGCTTTCTATTACGGGGAATTTGGATGTATTGGAGGAAAAGTTTGATGCATATACATGATATTTGTATATAATAAAGGAACTTATGATTTCATTATATTTGTTTTCTGAGGGGCTATTTGTCAGGCACCCTATTACGTACTTTCATGTATAGTAGATCATTAAATCCTCAGATTCTTTGAGATGGTTAAAATATATATAATTCCCCCAGTATACAGATGAGTAAACTTAGGTTAACTATGAAATTACTCATCCAAATTTATACAACTAGAAAGTGTGTTAGGGCTAAAACCCAAGTCTGACTGATTCCAAAGTCCCTAATCATTCTACTACACACTTCTCCTGCCATTAAATACAAATTTGTTACCTTTTTTTTTTTTTTTTAAGATTTTGTTTATTTATTTGACAGAGATCACAGGTAGGCAGAGAGGCAGGCAGAGAGAGGAGGAAGCAGGCTCCCTGCTGAGCAGAGAGCCCGATGTGGGGCTCGATCCCAGGACCCTGGGATCATGACCTGAGCCAAAGGCAGAGGCTTACCCACTGATCCACCCAAGCGCCCTCCCTTTTTTTTTCTTTAAAGATTTACTTATTTATTTTAGAGAGTGAGAGAGAAAGAAAGAGTGGAGGAGGGGCAGAAGGAGAGGGAGAAAGAAAGAATGTCCAGCAGACTCCTAGATGAGCGCACAACTGGACTCAGGGCTCGATCCCAAGATCTTGAGACCAGAACCTGAGCCAAAACCAAGAGTTGGGACACTTAACCTATGAGCCACCCAGGCACCCCCAAATCCGTTATCCTAAATGCTTGTTCTGACCTCTGGATATCATTCATAATATCCCTAATCATTTTCCCACCTGGCAGTTTACACATCCAAAGATTTCTATAGTTCCTCTGTGTTTCCAGTTGATTAAGTTAAACATGCCTAGTTCTCTATCAAGCATACTTTTAAAAGCATGGCCAGATTCCATCTAATCTACTTTGTTTTAAAATATAAACAGCTATGTTCTACAAAGGATATGAAGTAGTGACAATAAGCAAATGCAATAAAACAAATAATAAACTATAATACTAACAGGCAGTCTGGATCCAGGAAATTATATAAAGAAAGCAGAAAATACACCATACAAAGAATGTGGGCTCTGAGCTAACCGACAAAGTGAAAAAGGAGCAAAGCTCAGTTACGTGATTCTCATGAGCAAAAGTTCAGTGGTTCCTTTGGGGAAAGATTTTCAAGAAAAATTTAAAAACAGAAATTCCAGACAACTGAATATTGTCCAATTTCCCTATGGTATTTTACATAAGAACTGCCTGGACAGAAGCACCCTAACTTAATCTTGTTTGTAGTTGAATGCATTTATACATAATTTCTTTTTCTAGATTTTAAGGCATCTTATTACAGTACAGAACCAGCAAACTGAAGAAACTTCTACAAAGACCTTGAAAGAAACCTTTCCTTCCTTCTTCAACAATTTCTGGAAAACAAAACACAAAAAAACAACTTGACAACCACACAATAAAATGCAAATTTTTGGTGACCATCTACTTTTCAAGGCACTGTCTTTGGGTGCTTACTTTTAAGTGGGACTCCTTTCAAGGAGTTAACAAGACAGGTAATAATACAGCAGCACCAAAAGAGTATTAACAGCAACACACCCTCCTTTGAGAGCAAATAGATGGCTACAATTTTTAAAAACATAATCCTTATTTTTTTTAAAAAAAAAGCTAAATACCAATTTTAATATCAGATAGAGCTGGGTTCTGATCTTAACGCCACCCTCATACCTGTGTGATTTGGGACAAAATTGTGGCGATTACACGAGATCATATGCTTGGCAAAAGAAAATGCTAATTAAATGTTTCCTATCATCAGCTTCTTTAACCTTCCACTTAACCACCTAGAGCTCTTGCATTTCTCTACGTCTAACACAAAAGGTGGCCAGGAAATGAATGAGTGTGTGCAGCGCCACACACGAAGGTGTGGAGCCACGCTATTCTTCTTCGGATTTTGCAACTACGGTGGGGAGGTATAACGGTTTTATCAGGATTTCAGCTGTAAGACGGCAAGTAACGCATCCACATCCTTTGAATTTAAAAGGCTCCCCCTGAAGAGCCTGGTTCATCCACATGGTACCGCCAAGCCTGGTCGCAGGGTGACTGCTCGGGGAGGATGCTTCGTTTGGGGCCTTCGGGCGGGGATGACATGTAAGGTTCTCACTCCTGCGGTAGTCTGGGGACGGAGTCTTCCTCCGCAGCCTCACTGTGCCCGCTCCCCTCGGGTCACTCCTGCGCTTCGGCTACACAGGTTCAGTTTTCTCTTTACAAGCACGAAGGCTCTTGGAGCCGAGAAACTGACAGGCGGGTAGCGCGTCAGCTGCACGGAAGGCCTCGCAGGGCTGGCGAAGCCCCCAACGGTGCTTCCAGAAGGAGCCTCTAACCCCGACGAGGATTTACGTACTTTGGCGGGTGCCTCGCGCCGCCGACCAGTTGGCCGCGCTCCGCCAGCCCGAGGGTCCTCGGGCCCGCGGGGGCCGCGGGGAGCCCGGGGAGGGCAAAGAGGCAGGCGCAGCGACCCAGCCCGGAGCGCCGGGAGGCAGCCCTCTCCGAGACGCGGGCCCCAGCTCGGCTGCGGGGCTGGGCGTCCCCGGACTCACCTCACAAACCCCGAGCTAAGCGGGAGAGGGAAGCCGGCTGCCGCGTTGTCCCACCACGCACCTCTAGGTCTCCGCCAGGAGCCGCTGCGGCCTCCCCGCGCCTGCCGGACGGTACTCGGGTGACTGGGCGCCGCAGGCAGGGTGGCTTGGGCCCCGGCAAGAAAGGCCAAATTCCGGCTTAAGCACAGCCGGAGAGGGTCGTGGAGTCTCAAGAGCCAGTAGGGAAGCCCGGAAGCCGGCTGGGGGATGGGAGGCCTGCCTGCCGCACACCGAATCTCCCGCCCTGCTCAGGGGGCGGAGTCCAGGAAAGCCAATAAAAAGTGGAGTCAGCCGAGAGCGACGTCGCTGCCCGCCAGTCGGTCTCCGCCTGTCCGCCCCGCCCATCAAGAAACCTGAGGAGAACGAATCCCTAAACCCTGAGTTCTGGGCCTTTCCTGTTCTGTTTTCGTTTCCGGGGAACGGGGAAGTGAGTGTTGGTTACACCTGGGGAAGTTTGCAGAGGTGTAGCTGGTGTGTCTTTAGGCAATCTTAGAAGTCCTCATTAATTTCTCTACACATCTTCTTTTGAGGAAGAAGATAATGCGAATGAATCTGCGTTTGTGGCTTGTTTTCGTTTTTGTTTTGTTTTTATTTGACATAGAGCACAAGCAGAGGGAGTGGAAGAGGGAGAAGTAAGCCTCCGGCTGAGCAGGGAGGCCTATGCGGGACTTGATCCCATGACGCCAGATCATGACCTGAGCCGGAGGCAGTCGCTTAACCCACTGAGCCACTGACTGAGACACCCAAGCATCCCGTTTGGTTTGGTTTGGTTAATTTATTTCTTGGGGTTGAAAGGTAGGATTCCATATATCTAAAGAGTTTGGAGTAGGGAAGAAGGGAGATATTCCTCTCTGGAAACAAAAGAATATGGAAATGAGATCAGACTACTAAGGGGAATGTAAAGACTAAGAACGAGCAGATGTACAAAGAGCTAATGAAGAAAAGATTGAACCTATTAGGATACAGTCTTACCCACTCACAGAATACGATTTCATTTGGATTCGACAACAATAAAAAATCCCCTGCGTAGCAGATAATGATACACCATTGAGTGGGACAAACACCATCTCTGCTGTCACCAGACAGCTTCCTCTATTAGAGGAAGATACTGAAGGGACAAGACTGAGAAAAACGCTACCATATGAGAAGTTCAGTGTTTACTGGACCACGTGGCAGAAGTATCTAACCAAAGGACAGAAGTCAGGAACAATTTCCTTGGAGGAAGAGATGTTTAAACTGAGAGTTGAGTAGATTTAAGCCAGGCAAAGAGGAAGCGTAAAATTTTCCAGGTAGAAAGCCCAAATCAATATAGCATGTGCATAAAGGGCCAAGAGGCAAGTGCCAAAGCTGGGTCTGTTGTTTTGAGGGCTAGTTTGGCCCTTGGTGCACTAGTCAGTGCTGCACTAAAAGATCACTCTGGACAAAGGAGGTAAGAATGGAAGCATAAGGAAGGAAGAGATGGAATCACCATTTTGGAAGATGTTTAGGAAATCCACTTGAGAAAGAAAAATGATGACAACCCGAATACCTCAATATTCCATTTTGGTTGCCAGAATTTAAGAAAACAAAGGATAAAGGTAATTTTCTCTACATTGGAAATAATCTGGGGAAGCGTGAGCAGAAAAAAGAGTAAAGAACATAGTCAACATTTAATAAAGTACTTGATAAGTTTTTAAAAATGTGAAGATCTAGGAATACTGAATATTTAACTAATATATTCTTTAACTAATATATTCTTTGTTTCTATGATGTAAACTCTCATCTCCTCTTCAGATCTACACAAAAGTCTATAGACTCAGTGGCCTTGAGTGGTGGGTTTTGAGTATGTTTTTATGGTATATTTGTGGAAAATAGAGGGAAAGGGATGGGTGTCCACGTGTCTTTTTCTTCCTTTTTTTTTAAGATTATCTATTTGACAGGGAAAGAGAGCAAGAGAGAACAAGCAGGGGAAGTGTCGGGCAGAGGGAGGGGGAGAAGCAGGCTCCCCACTGAGCAGGGAGCCTGATGCAAGGCTCCATCCCAGGACCCCAGGATCATGACCTGAGCTGAAGGCAGACGCTTAAGTGATGGAGCCACCCAGGTGCCCCTGTCTTTTTCTTTGGATAGTTCAATTTACTCAGTTAACTTTGAGCACCTACCTGTATTGTGAACATAGTGCCCAGATATGTTCCTTACCATTAGGGAACTTAAAATTCTTGTTTGATAGAAAGAATCAGGTAATTTCATTACAATAAGGTTTAAGTGCAAGGATAAAATGTGCAGAGATTTACTAGGACAATGATCACTTAGTTCAGCTTAGCTAAGCAGAGAAAAGGCAGCAGAGGAAAAGCCTATCCAACTACAGATGACAGAGAATAGGGGTGGAAAAGGGATTTCAGGAAGAGTATGGTATTACAAACTGGGTGTGCTAGTACAAAGAAGTTTGGTGTTAATTTAACCTTAAGTAAAAGTTAAGAATGGTAGGGGATGGAATGGGAGAAGTCTGGGGCTAAAGAATAGAATTTATCCTCTATAATGGAACCATTGAATAATTGTAGCCAGGGACTGATGGGTGTTTTATATTAATCACTAATGAAGGTAAATTTGAGAGGGGTAGGGGTCTAGTTAGGAAGCTATCAAAGAACTCTGGATATGAAGATGAAGATAGGAGCTTGAGATGTAGTAATAGAACCGGAAAGGAAAGGATGACTTTGAGGAAAAAAAAAAAAAAATAGGCAAAGTCAGCAGGATTTGGAAACTGGATATAGAAGGAAGGAAGAAGGAAAATATAAGTCCCAGGTTTCTGGCATGGTTATCTGGGTATCAGCTCCCCAGTGTTCTGCGAAAGATTACAGATAGAGGGAAAGAGTTTCGCTTGAGGCATCTTGACTTTGAAATCCCTTTGAAAGAGAGACCAAATTATCCTGCAAACAGTGGTTTTAAGAGTTTGAAATTCATCCAAGAGATCGACAGAGAGAGATCTAGGGGTCACCAGTGTATAGATTAAAGCCAAAGGGAGAAAAAAAGAATTGCCTTAGGATGATGAATAAAAGATTAAATGAAGTACCTCATCTTCTGAGATACGCAGCAAGTAGATGCGCATAGTTGTGGACATAGTTGTTCTTTGAAGTGGTGGGAGAAGACAGGAAATTAAAACCTTCTAGCATTATGGCCTCCATTTAATGAAAAAGAGCTGAGGCTCCTGGGAAAGTGGTACTTCAAGTGATGAAGCCTTTGAATAGAAACTGAAGGGAATGAGACAAGTAAGCAGGCCAAGAAGTAGAAGGACTCAAAGTGTTGGGGGCTTAAGGTTGGGGCCAGTGAAGTTGTACTGATGCCTATAATGTTCAGTGAACTGAGTAAGGGAATAGAAAAGGTGGTGTGTAGCATTGAAATGGACAAGTTACACACACACACACACACACACACTGCATTAATCTCTTTCTTATACTGGCATTTACTATTTTATATACTTCTCTGGGAAAAAAATTCTTGAGTCAGTGGTTCCGGGTGGAAGAGGAAAGCTTACCTATGAAGGCAAAAGACTGTTACAGAACTAAAGAGTTTTCAGTGCTGATTTCACATGAAAATTACCTGGGGAGGTGATAAAATTGCTAATGCTAGATCCCAATCCCAGGGAGTGTGAATGTGGCCTTAAATGTGGTCATCAGAAATTTCCCAGATGATTTTAACATGCAAGCTAGGGTTGAGAACCACTGAGCCAGGGAGAATGAAAATTTTTGTCAAATGTGAAATCACCTAGATGCTATGCATTAAACACATACTTGCTAAGGATATGATAGGTCTAGAATGGCAGTGGCAAATGCCTCAGCAAATAATATCTACCCAGAGTTTTTAAGATACAAATTTGATTTCAACCCTGCTCAGGAGAAAGCGATTACTTCTATCCAAACATTTAGGAATAAAAGAGAATAGTAGTAAAATCCTATTTTATCTCCAGGATTTTCTCATGCCAGGGATGATGAGGAGGCCCTTCTAAGGCACAACTTAGTAATACAAGATTTGGCATATTACTCCTTTAAAAATATACACATAGTAATTCAAACTCTGGGAAATGAGTCTTAAAATCTAATCTTCAATACAGAAAGTTTTACCATGTTCATAAAGCCATTATTTATAGTTGTTAGTAGATTTCTTGAAATTCTGATTTTCCTTGAGGAAATGATATTTCCTCCTGAATACTGATTGGGGAGAATAAAAAATATTTTTTAATTGTTTTTAAATTATACAATGATTCAGAATTTAATTTTGTACTGGGTAGCATGATCTGGCCATAAAAAAAAGTTTTCATTCCTAATGTGTATTAAATATTGTTAAAGTGCTAAAAGTGACTGGTCCTTCAAGTGAGGTTTTTTTTTTTTAATATTTTTATTTATTTGACAGAGAGAGATCACAAGTGGGCAGAGAGGCAGGCAGAGGCGGGGGGCGGGGACACAGGGTCCCTGCTGAGCAGAGAGCCCGATGCGGGGCTTGATTCCAGAACCCTGAGATCGTGACCTGAGCTGAAGGCAGAGGCTTAACCCACTGAGCCACTCAGGAGCCCCTCAAGTGAGTTTTAGAAGAGAGCCCCACCCCTTTCTGATGTAACATGTGAGGAAAAGTGGGGGTGTAACTACGGACTATCATCCATTTTACTTGGATTAGGACTCAGGGCCAGATTTAGACCTTTAGAAACCCTCAACATAAATGACCGTTATTTGTACCCTCTCCTGTGTTGTTCAAAACAATATTAAATCATAAAATAATTATAAGGAAGTCCAACAAAATTCCGATTTCCTCCCAAGCCACCTGGCAACATTTTTTGCAAAAGAGGGATGCAGGTAAGGACCTGTAAAATATTTTTAAGTTCTTTGAGAGCTTTCTCTGCATTGTTATACTATAAACCAGGTTTTCTCAACTTAGGTTCCTCATATAAACCACAGAAAGACTATTTTTTTTTAAATTTTCCTCTTAAGAATGGTACTCAAGGATAGTACACAACTGGAACTATACATAGGAGATAATTTATAATTGTGCATTCCTAAATGTTTAGGGCTTGAATCTTTCATGGGTTTAGTTTGTCTATTAGTAATCTAGCTCTGCTGAGATCCCATCTCCCCTTCCTTTCTATCCCCTATAGGGGCCTTGGCCTTGTGGGGGGATAGGACAAGTATACCAGTAGTTGAGAATAAGCAATACTGTATGAAGCAGCATCCCGTGGTAGTTAAGTGCACAAGCCCATAAGCCTGAGTGTC